TATTTCCGATAAAATACCAATATTTCACAGGTACAAATAAATTACTTTGTATAAGTTTAGCCGGACCACGAGACAACGACACTTGGCATTTCAACTTTTCACCAAATGTCGCGCGACGCGACAACAATTAAATAATTTATCATAAAAATTTATTTTTATAACATAATTTTTTTGGAGCGAATAAAGTAGTTCAAAATGTACAGCATTCATTTGTAATATATTCTAATCGATTGAAATAAAATACTTCACAATCTAATATGATTTTATTGTTGTATGTAGACCTGTCAATCAGGTCGGATCACGGGTCATTTCGAGTCGAGTGACTTCAGGTGTCATGGGTCAAGAAATGTTCAACTCTAGCCCAAAGTTTCAGGTTCAGGTCACCCCAACGGGCTTAGAACAATTTGATTGATTCAATTTATTTTAGGCTAATATTTCAAGCTTACTTTGCTATTTTTTTATTTTTTTTTTTTTTGTGAACACGAGGGGCAATCCCCAAAAAAAAAACAAGGAAAACAACTAAAAGCAAAAAACAAATAAAACTACTAGCCACAAGGCTTTATTCCATCTGATCTAGAACTACTTAGACTTTCGGAACCATTCTTGGCCAAGCCACTCCACTAAAGTCCTCCAATAAAATACCATGAAGATCCTTCGGGACCGCCTCAAGAAGAACCAAGTTAGATCCCGCATTCACACCATAGTTTGCTAACTAGTCAACCGCTCGATTAGCCTTCCTATAGCAATGAATAACCTTAATTTTCCAATCTCTTCGAGAAATCAAAGCCTTGCACCTGCGGATAATATGTATAAAAGGAGAGTTTAGGAAAGCTTCTTCCGCTAACAGTTGCACTACCACCTGTGAATCAACAGCTAGAATTACTTTCCTATGGCCCCCATCCTAAGCAATGCTAAGCCCTCGCATAACAGCTACATGTTCTGCTCTGGTACGTACAAACCCCACAACCAACAGCAAAAACTTCATGCAATTCCCCACTGCTACCTCGTATCAAACCTCCTGCCCCAGCCACACCCGGATTGCCCTTAGCTGCCCCATCTGTATTTAGCATTATCCACCCAATTTCTGGTCTCATCCATCTAACAAGCACCTCTTCTCTCCTACACTTGTGAGAAGTCAAGATCATATCCTCCCTGTCCATAGCTCTTCTGATAATACCAACTCGATAAAAAATGAAGCTCACTTGGTCAATATTAGGGATTGACGAAGGGTCATTGAAGCATCTTTCGTTTCTCCATTTCCAAAGCCACCAACAAGTGACCACAAACATCCTTGGCCACTCATCTCCCAACTCTGATTTCTCATCATCAATATTCTCTAAAATCCAATCAAGAAAGGGAGTGACATTACATATTCGAGAGTGTGCAACACCCAATTTTTGCCACACAATACGGGCTGTTGGGCACCTTCTCACTGCATGTTCAACGCTTTCATCATCTTCACCACAAACAAAGCACCTCGGGTCATCAGTGAGACCTCTAACAAATCTATACTTGTTGGTCATAATCCGTTCCTGAGCAATAAGCCAGAAAAAGTAGCGAATCCTCTGAGGCACTCTCATCTTCCAGAGAAGCTTCCAGCCACGCACATTACCAAGGTCTACTACCTCACTATCTCGGCTTATGGCAATGGCCGATTTAATAGTGAATTTTCCTTTTGGTGACCCACTCCAATACACTTCATCAATAGCATCTTCAGTCACTTGGTAGGCTGCAATTTCTCCTAGAACACTCGCAGGGAGGTAATCCGCAAAGACTTCATATCTTCATCCTGTGTTAACATCCCACAATTCACTAATTGTCATGTCTTGGACCTTTAGAGGGGGATCTCGACTTACATAATTTATAAGAGGTTCCTTCGTCGCCCATCTATGATACCAAAAGAAGGTTCTACAACCATTTCCCACGGCCATATTCACTCCTTTTCGGACAATATCAATACTACTCATTATGCCCTTCCAAGCATTCGAGGCATTAGCTTTATCCTTGAACATATCTAGATCAAATCGACTATCGCAATACTTAGCCCGAAGAATTCTCGACCAAAGAGAGTTTGGTTTTGCTAAAAGTCTCCAACCAAGTTTAGCAAGGAATGCCCTATTTGGCATTTGCATCTCTCATTGAACAAAATCCAAGACCTCCATCCTTCTTAGGTCTTGTAATTTTGTCACAAGCAACTAAATGCATTTTTCTTTGACCTTCTTGCTCACCCCAAAGAAAGCTTCTATTCTTCCTGTCAATTTCATCGCAAGTCGATCTGGGAAGTTTGGTCGATTGCATAGCATATAAGGGCACCGTACTCAATGTGGACTGCACCAAAGTTGCTCTTCCTGCAATCGAAAGAGTTTTCATCTTCCAACCCGCAAGTTTTCCATTTATTTTATCCACAAGGTACTGGTACTCTCATTTGGACGTACGTCCATTAATCGTAGGCACACCGAGGTAACTCCCAAAGTCTTCAGTTGACTCCATCTCAAGCTGTTGGCAGATACTTTGCTTCAAATCCGCATCTGTATTGCTTGAAAAATACAACTTGGACTTCGCAACACTCACTTTGCTTCCGGAAGCATCACAAAAAAAAATTTAAGTAGTGGTTTATCACTTCGGCTTGATCAATAGAGGCCTCACTAAATAAGATTAGATCATCTGCGAAAGCCAAATTAGAAAACATAGGTCCATGTCTACTCGCCCTAATTGGTTGCCCACCTTCACCTCTCTTTCAATTAAATGGGCCAAATATTCCATACAAATAACGTACAAATAAGGTCAAAACGGGTCCCCTTGACGAATTCCTCGGGTCGGGCTAAAAGCTTCCATCGGTTCGCCATTCCATAATATATGTAACTTTGCAGAGGTAATACATTGCATAGTTATGTCAACCATGTATTGCAGCAATCAAAGTTCAAGGAGCGAGTCACGGATGAAACTCCAACGAAGGTGATCATAATTTTTTAAATCGAACATTTCGACCAATATTATCATCATTAGTCATTAAATGTCTACTACATAATTTAAATCGTCACAAATCACATCAATTTCTAACTAATTTTGTATCAATGATATATTTTAAAAACTAAGTACATAGATAAAAAAATTATATTAAAATTCATTGAACAACCCAGACATCGCATGGGGCACCAAACTAGTAATAATAATAATACTAATAAGGGCTGCAAGGCTACATATACTCATATAATACTCCGAAATACATAGTAGTAAATTAGTATTAATTCGGAATTTATGAAAAATAATTCATAACTCGAAATTAACAATATATATTTCTCATAATTAAGCCAAACTAAACCAAGCCGCCACCACCTCACCTTTACTCCAACCTAATACCACCATACCAACCACTGCCCCTGACTGCAGCCACCACCGTAGCTAAAGCCCCAACCCCTCCTGAAACCCTAACCATCACCCAAAATCTCCACCATAGGCCTGACGCCACGACCTCCATCAACGAAACCAAATCCCCCAACCCCACCTAAACCAAACACCACCCTCACCTGAACCTCCCTCACCCAAAATCTCCATCACAGACCCGACATCACCCAACCTCCATCAACGAAACTAAACCCCCCAACCCCGCCTGAACTGAACATCACCCTCACCTGAACTACCACCACATACCCAATACCACTAAATCCCATCAACGAAACCAAATCCCCAACCCGAAACCTTGAGAAATTTGATGGAATTGTGATGATTTTTCTGCAAAATTGAGATTAATGTTTAAGAAAGTGAGCTAAATATTGAAGATTGAAGATGAGAGAGAAAGAGTGGGGTTGGGTTGGGTTGCTGGAGAAAGCAGAGGCGAGGATGGGGAGGGGCCGCAAAGGCAATGGCGGGAACTGGGGTTTTGGTTTATTTTTTTTTATTTTGGGAATTTTGACTTTTACCATCTTCAAATAACCACTTAATTGAATTTACCACCTGAAAAAAAAAGATTTACTTTACCACCTCATAAAAAAATTAAACATCAGTTTTACCACCAATCACCTCCAACTAATGGATTCCGTCCATAAATCCGTTAGTGGGGCCTACCTTACACACGTGTCGCCATATTATTGGGTAAGCTTTAGAAAAAAAATTTAAAAAAAACAAAAAAAAAATTAAAAAACCTCATCCATCAATTGGTGGCTGCTGCCACCGTCGAGACCCCACCACCGGACCGACTACGACCAGCCCCACCACCTGACAGCTACGACCAGCCCCCCACCTAACCGCTACCAGCCCCCACCACCTAACCGTTACGACCAACGACCCCACCACCTAATAACTACCACCGCACCGCACAGCCACAACCACCGCACCGCACCGCACAACCACCACACCGATTTCGACCCCCTTTCCACCAATTTCCGACCTCAAAACCCTAGTCACCACCTAATCACTACGACCAACGACCCCACCACCAACTTCCGACCCCTCCCTTGCCCCCACACGAAATTCCGACCACACGAAATTCCGACCAACGACCCCACTAATCCACAACCACCGCATCGCACCGCACAACCACAGCCCCCACACCGGATTTCGACCCCCTTTTCACCAACTTCCGACCTCAAAACCCTAGCCACCAAATTCCGACCAACCATATAGCCCCCCTAATTCCGACAACTCTTAAAACCCTAGCCACCACCAAATTCCGCACTCCTAAAACCCTAACCACCACCTAATTCCGATCACCTCCCTAGGTTACACTAATTTCCGACCCCTCCCTTGCCCCCACACGAAATTCCGACCAACCATGGTGTGTTAATTTCGTTGCCGGCTGGGTTGATATGGAAATCGGGGAAGATGAAGAAGAACCGTCAAAAAGGTGGGCCCTACTAACGGATTCATGGACGGAATCCGTTAGTTGGTGGTAAAATCGAATTTTTGGAAATTTTGGTGGTGGTAAAGTAAATCTTTTTTTTTTGGAGGTGGTAAATTCAATTAAGTGGTTATTTGAAGGTGGTAAAAGTCAAAATTTCCTTTTATTTTTTTTTTTTAAAATATGATTATTATTGTTTTTTTTTAATTATTAAAAATTAGAGTAAACCTATTAAAATGCGACACGTGGCAAAAAACCTAAGGAAACCGATTATCAAAACACTTTAACCGGTCAGGGATTGTTAATGGAAGATCCTTATTAAAGGTGGGATTGTTTCTCGAATTTCAAAAGGTGATAATGTTTCTGGAAGATGGAGCAAAGGTGAGATTATTAGAATTTATTTTTCCTTTTTATTTAAGCTTTTATATTCAACTTGTTTAGGGTGTTTAAGTGTTTTTTTATTCATTTGTTCCTCTATTGGAACTTGTTTTTTTTTTTTTTGTTGGTAAGGAGAAAGACCCTATCAAGCCGGAACCTCTCATAGGTCCTTCCGGCCCATATTAGCGGGCTAGGCTCCTCTATTGGAACTTGGAAGACATGATTTGGGCCATGCACAAATTATAAACCGTAACTAGATTAAAAGTGCCAAAAAAAAAAAAAAAAAAAAATTTAAATTGATACTCCGTACAATGTAGAATTTTGCAAATAATCCCAACAAATTAAAATTTCCCATCACATTTCTCTGCAAATCAATCTTCTTCGATCTTGGAAAAGAAACTCCTTTCTGCCCCTTCTCCTTTCTGGGTATGTTTCTCAAGTAATATATTTTACTAATTTCGTTAGTTGCATCTTATACTACTGTTGTTACTAATTTCTATTACAGAATTTGTGTCAAAATCTAGTCTTTATTACTTTGATTTTTGCTGTAATTGAGCTGGGTTGTAACAGTTGATTAGCTTCTGAAAATTAGGAAGTTGGGCATTAATTATCTTCCAATCACAGCAACTTCAGATGGGTATGTCTGTGTCTAATTTATGTGTATATGAAATGGGTTTATAAATACGATTATGGTTGCCTCAAGAAGAATTCTGCAGCAATTGAACTTAATTGACTTTTGTTTTCATTGTTTCTCAAATTGTCCCAAATTATCATTTAATTTGCATTCGCCGAATTCAGATGCATATGTATCTGTTTAGTGCTCTATGTCCATCTACATGGAAACAGATTTGTTATGTGACATTATTGATGACTTGTTGTAAACATACATGAAATGGGTTTGTAATGTCTATAATTATAATATTTCAGTTCATTGTCCAATTCGATCAAGGGTATTATTTGAGTAATAAGGCAATTTGCAACATTCTAACTTGAGCCTGGTCTGGTTAACAGGAAGGTAGTTTAAAAGAACCTACTGTGGACTGTGGTTGGTAAGAGAGATGGAGGATGTTGTGGAGCAACAGAATCCATCACTAGGTACTTTTAGCCAATTTATGATATATTTTTTCAATGAATCGCCTATCTCTAGAGTTGGAAATGAGATTCTATATTCACTCAACCAAATACCGCAAATCATACTCTTATATCCCTTTTAAAAATCTCACATTGCTATACTTCTTTGAAGGTGAAGATGGAGAGAGTGATATAGTAACTGAACAGGCTACCTTTGTCCATGGAGCACCCCATCAAAATGATAATGGCCCCCCTAAAGTAGATGCTGAAGTTGAGGTTCTTCATGAGAAAGTTACCAAGCAAATAATCAAAGAAGGTCACGGTGAAAAACCATCCAAATATTCCACATGCTTTGGTAAGTGTAATTGGCCTCCATCTAAGTCTCTTAGATGTTCCCCACTGAAAATTCACATTGTTGCGATTTTTTTGCACTTGGTTACTATGGAGTATGGATGGGTATAAATATTTTCCTTTCCTTTCACTGCCTTGTCTATGTGTGTCATATAACGAATTGAAATTTCAGCAACATTGGCTAATACTGCAAAATTGTAATGGAATACAAATACGGTGTTCTAATCTAGTCAAGTTCATTAAATTTTGTTTGTCACATTTGCTCTAAGTTGTGATTTTATGTATCCCTATTATTTTCTGGATGGCTATAATTCCACATTTAAAAGCAAATTAAGCTGTGTGCTTATTTAGTAATGAACTTGGGAAGAGTCTACTTCTGTTTCTTGTTTCAAAATGACTGTTTTTCTTCCCTTTTAATAGTGCATTACAGAGCATGGACTGGGAGCACACAACACAAGTTTGAAGACACATGGCAGGAGCAACGGCCAATAGAGCTAATTCTAGGAAAAGGTAATGCTCAAAATCTGCTTTATTTTGTGGTAAGCTTGGTGCCTGATATGCTTGATGCTGGATTTGCCTACTGTGATTCCTTTGGTTTTCTGAGATTGATTTCCATCACACGGATTGAATTACACAATGTCACGATTGATCTAGTTGACGGACACCCATTTCATGTATGTACATATTTTTTATGTAGCTGGGTATAGATATTTCTATATCAGCATATATAGTGTATCTTTATTTTATTGCAATCGAATGCAAATCAATTTAAGTATGATGAAATACCTTGCTGGGGGTTTATTAAATCAATCTAGGTTACTTTAGGGCACCTAGGTAAGTGGCACTGGCTTAATGATTCGAGGGACCTGACTGTCTAACACTACTAGCTTGTATAGTTGCCTGACTAATCTTTTAGTGTGAAATGCATTCTAAATTTAATCATCAAGTGGTGATAATCTCTCCCATCCCAGCTCACACCTATGCCTAGAAGTACAGATATAAAAGTGACCCTTCACAACCCTCATCCTGAGTGCATGCATGCCCATTTGCATGAATTCTGGCTTCTAAATTGATCAAGTTTCAGTGCCTCATATTTTGTTAATATTTTTATGCTTCAGTGTGTTCTGAATTCATTCTAGATACAAGTTCATACTTCTTTCATCAAGTTGGCATTGTTGATAATCTCTTGGACAGCTTTGAGACTAAGGTTCTTTTTTTTTTTTTTTTTTTTTTTTTTTTGGACAGAGAAGAAAGAGATGGAAGGATTAGGAATTGGTATATCAAACATGAAGTCTGGAGAACATTCCTTGTTACATGTTGGTTGGGAGCTAGGCTATGGAAAAGATGGAAGCTTCTCCTTTCCAAATGTTCCACCCATGGCTGACATTATATATGAAGTTGAACTCGTTGGATTTGATGAAACCAAAGAAGTATGTAATCAATCACCTAAATTATATTATGAGCTGCATATTGTTAGATCCAAAGCTGGTTGAAAAGATCTACCTTTTCACTATTGAATTAGAATGCATCTGGGATATAGGGTGAACCACGTAGAGACATGACAGTTGAGGAAAGGATTGGTGCTGCAGACCGGCGAAGAATGGACGGAAATGCTTTATTTAAGGAGGTCAAACTGGAGGAGGCTATGCAACAGTATGAAATGGTTATTCATTTTTCTAATTTTCACTATTACCATATTATTGTTATGGATTTCTACTTATTTTCATGTTAGGCATCAATCATTCAATCAGTTTCTGCTATGTCTTGACGCCTCAGGCAATAGCATATATGGGAGATGATTTCATGTTCCAGCTGTTTGGAAAGTACCGTGATATGGCTATGGCTGTCAAGAATCCTTGTCATCTCAACATGGCAGCATGTTACATTAAGCTCAAGCAATATGATGATGCCATAGTGCAATGCAGCATTGTGAGTACCTTGTCTCATAAAAGAATATGGATCTAGCTTGTCTTTTTTGGAAACTGATGGTATAGTTAGGCCTTGTGCTAAAACAACAAAAAATATTGTAGTTCTCGTTCTGCTGAGTGCTGACATCAAACATAGAAAACATACGAAGTATTATAATTTTGTACACCTGGTCCATTAAACAGTCTTTTTTGTAATCGGATGAACAAGGCTGCTAAGTGCTAACGCCTCCCTCTTCCACCGAAACCTAGTATCTGGTTTATAGGCACAAGTCTTGGCAGAGGCACTATGGCCTATGGTGATGATAATTTTCTACAGATTTCCTACTTGTCGGCCATCTTTAATCTATTAAGTGCAGAATTGCTTTTATATAAAAAATATGCCCTTGATTTTCCCTAGTATGCAAGATCTTTGTGCTATTTTACTCAATTTAATTTTCAGCACATTTTCTTGTCCCCTTGTATGCCAGGGCGTACTAATGTCCTTAGAACCTTTAGCTTGCTTCTTCATGATGGCCTCATCAAACATATTGCAAGCCTGATATTATAATTTGTCTACATCTGAGGATTGATGCAGTATCAACAAGGGAACTTTATGCTTTTCCCTCCTGACCTTTATCATGCATTTGCACAAATCTATGATGGAACCTACCTTAGTAACCTTACCTTCGGATGGTGGACCAAAATTCTCTCGCGGAATGCATCAATCTCTGTTATGCTCCATAAATTTTTTATTGTTTAGAATCCTTAGCTTATTTCGCCGTATATGCCCAGTAAACATTACACAGCTTCAGAAACATGTTTTCCTCATAATTTAGGTCTGATGATACTAAATTCTTACTGGTTGATTTGGTATTAGGTCCTAGCTGAGGATGAAAATAATGTCAAAGCACTGTACAGACGAGGAAAAGCAAGAGCAGAACTAGGGCAAACAGAAGCAGCTAGAGAAGACTTGCTCAAAGCTCGTAAATATGCTCCTGATGACAAAGCAATTGCCAGAGAACTGCGGGTTCTTGCTGAACATGAAAAATCTGTCTATCAGAAGCAGAAGGAGATGTACAAAGGAATGCTGGGACCAAGACCTGAACCCAAGCCCCAGCAAACTAGTTGGCTAGCTCTCTTTTGGCAGTGGCTTATCTCTTTATTCTATAAGATTTTCAAGCAGAAAACACAAAAATCTGACTAATTTATTTATCCTATATAGTGCCCAAAGTTGTGACTAGCTAGAGTTAAATAAAATCAAACTGATGTATATACTATATAACTGTATTTTACTACAAAAATGCTTTTTGTCCAATTTTAAGTACTGTATTACTTCGTATAAGAATCTTACTTGTTTATCTAATATGAAAATACAGGTATAGTCAATTAATAAACCATAATATATTGTCCTAATTTCTGAAGCTCATATCATGTTAATAGGACAGGACTACAGTTAGATTACTACATGGACTCATTTAATATTTGTACTAAAGGTGATGAATGATTCACTTGCATTAGATTACATTAGTACAGAGTATAATTTGATACAATGAGTAATTTGATTTCAGTTTTGGGTCGTATTCGAGTTAATTTCTAGTTTGTATATCATGATAAACCAAACAATATTTGTCACAAAAAACTTCAGGTTAAAGTTGGGTTGATTCAATTCAAGTAAACACAGTTTATGTAAATTTCGGAACAATTTGGATTTGGGTCTGGAATTTTGGATCATGTAATCGGGTTAATTTCAGTTTTGCCAGGTCTAGTGGAAACTTTTGCCCTTGTGCAAGCCTGCAGCTCCTTTATCAACATATGATCACAATGAGTTTGATCCCTTTATAGGCATCAAGCAACTTTGTAATATGTAAATCACATAAACAGACATTATATTGAAATGCTCATGTATCAATTATCAAATACATTTGACTATATATGATGAGATTTGTTGATGTATCAACTATATGTCTATATTTGACTTTCTCATTTGTCAATCGCAAATATCCCTTACCAAATTGACTTCAGGGTGAACAGGGAAGTGTATGTGCACCATCTATAAGCTCCTTGTTAATGACGACAATCGCCATTAAACTTAAACTAATGGCAGTTTACAAGATGTGTACACTATTATTACAAATCATATAACTAATCACACAATAAAACAACAAAGAATCAAACTTCTGTTATATTACCAAGGGTGATTAAGCATGGACATCCAGGCACAATATGCACAAACAATCTTCTGAGATATATACACATAAACACCAAAAGAGAAGCTCATCAACAGCACATCTTTCAAGTCCCCCTTTTGTTTTGGACTTAAAGTCTCCTTCAATCGCTTACCCAACTTGGACACTCCACTAATAATTTGGAGTGTCATCAATGGCTTCTCTCCCCTCTCTTTCTTCGTGCTTGAATTTTCCTCTCCTGCAGGCTTGCTGCTTTGGCAAGAGAAGGAGATCAAAGTTTTGGGGATGCTTATGATTTTATGCTCTTTGATTTCTTGGTTTTTGCCAAGGAGGCAGTAGCTCATGGAAATTGTAGCCATTTGGTAAAAGGGAGGAAATAATGAAACCTTTTTTTAATAGAATCTTGTAGCTCAATTGTTTTTAAGTTTTTGTAGTTTTCTTCACTATAAGAAGAATATCTTATATGAGCACCACATATAATATATGGATAAGGAAGTAAAAGTTTGGCCCCATAAAAAGATGGGTCGGAAAAATAAAAATTTGCAAAGCATGTTACAAATTCTAACCTTTAAAACAGCCCCAAAAAGGCAGGAATTTGCTAATTCCTTAGGGCAAAAAACATTTTTACTACCTCTGTTTCAAATTATTTACAAATTCGTTGCAAATAATTTGAAACGGAAGTAATAATAATTGAGATAAAAAAACACTTGCAAATTGTACATAAAAAAACACTTACAAAACGGATCAAACAGGTTCGGGTTAATTTGTTTCATGCCGAAATTGCCATCTTTCAATATGTACAACTGTGTATTCTGCATACAACAAGTTGTACAACAGCTTTTAGGTACAACTAATGTATTTGTTCACCATAACAGCATTTGTTTGACAAGCAGTCAGGAACACAAGACTAAAGTTAAATTATACAATTAGAAAACTAGCATATTTTCATGTGGATGTACTGCCTATTCAAATTCAGAATCATCATCATCATCTTCCGCATCAGAAAAATTGTCAGACACTGGCTGCTCAGAGTCATCGCTATCAGAGTCGCTCAGAACATATGTCATCTGCTTCCTGTTTGCTCGCTGTGGTCTAGGCCTTGCCGGCATGGCTTCATCAATACTATCCAAAGAAAAGACTAAAGGCCTCATCCTCCTGACCTTCTGCTCAGGAGATGTATCAGTTGTATCTGAAGCCTTGAAGGTATCAGTTATCAACTTTTGCCCTGCTTGAGATTTCTTACTGACAGGCCCCCTCTTTTTTGTAACAGCGGCTTGCTTGGGTTCCTTGCGGTTTGCAGGTCTACCCCTTCCTTTCTGAGCTGGTTTTGTAATTTCAAGGTCAATGTCATCATCATTGTCTGATATTTCATCAACTGCAGCAAATTGCTTCTTGGCATCAGCCTTTTTTGGGGTATCAGTTTCCATTTCTGATCAAAACAAGAAAACTAATTACTACTAACAACAAATGAATGCATTTTGTAACATTCGGAAGTGTAAAATGAGAATTTACCAGCAGATTTTTCTGGAGAAGAATCCAAGTGAGAGGCAGCAAGCCGTTGGCTTAGAGAAGGAATGTCTTCCTCTTCTTCCTCATCTACAACAGTTGGCTTGGCTTGCTAAAAACATAGCTATGTTAGCTTCTTACCAACCCAAGTTGTAAGGTGCGAGTCTTATGTAGAACTATACAAGTAAATAGAGATAAACTTACCTTCTTAGCTGGAGCCTTCCTGGGACCTGCCTTGCCTTTTCCCTTTACTTGCTCTGGCTGATATTCTAAATTAAGTAACAAGAAAGATGGTCAAGAAAGGAACAAAATATGCTGCAGTTGATAACTGTAAATGCAAACATTAGTAGATGATTCAACCTGAATCTAAATTCGAGTCACTGACAGTTTTGGCTTTGCTCACATTCCTGTTTTGCTTACGTGACTTATTCGCTTTTTGGGCAGAAGCTTTCACTTTTTCCATGGCCTTTTTGGCCTCCTTCTCTTCTCTTATTTCCTTCTCCTGCAAAAATAAACAAATAGTATTAGAACTATTTAGTCATTGACTGCAACACTATATTTACAGTAAAATTCAGTGGCTAACACTTACAAGAAGAGCTTTCTCAAGAGCATCAAGATCCCTTGACCACAAAGACCTTTCAGTTTCCTTGTTCAACAGTTCAATTTTCTCTTTGACTTTTTCCTTATTGTCACAAAGCTCCTGCACTTTCTCATAAGTCAAGTTTCCTATTGTCATGGACAGCAGATAATCATAATCGCTCAAATGGTCAGCAGTAGATGTAGTATTCTCAGCGCTGACTTCCTGATCCTCTGTCTCATCGTTATTATCAGTGGCACCTACAACAGCTGACTCAACAGATTTTTTCTTGGGGATAGGATCAAACCCTTTCTGCCGCAATTCATTGACCAATTCCGCCTTCTTCCTCTTGCACACCACAATATCATCTTCTACTACTGCCAAGATAAACCTAACTTGGTTTGATATCTTCACCAACTCAGCATGATATGTCTCCAAGATTTGTTCCTGCCATGGTTTTCATTGAACCAATATGAGTTGCATAGTTAAGAAAAGTGTGTGAATCAGTTCACGTGTTTCATGCTTTAAAACTTACCTTTCTTTTAGTATAGTATACAAATCTCATCGGATAGAACTTCTCAAGAACTGCACAAGAAATGTCATTACAAATGAGTAACCACTTAAAACCAAATGCACCCCTCATGAAAAGTTTAAAGACGTACTCTTTTCAGGAGATTCATATTTAACGATCTTATTTTCTTCATCAAAGAGGTGCATGTTATTAGTGCTGAGGGTACTTGTGAGCTTAAACTTCTTCAACAAGCCCTCCTCCTTGGCAAGGTTATAATTTTTCCTTGTTAATAAAAGCTCAAATTTTACAGTGTCATCAGTACTATTGTCCCAAAAGTCCTGCAGGCAACAATAAAACAAAATTGGTTAAATCAATCTCTTTGGAGCCACTTAGGTAAGCAAAATGAACGTAAAATCACCTTGACAAATGGCTCCTTGCCCTTCTCCACTTCCTTGGCAAGGGACGTCAAAAAGTCCTTATAATCTTGGGTCCACTTCCGAATCGGCAGCTCAGTGATTATAAGAGTTACATCACCTACACTGTGATCATCTATGCTGCTTTCATTAACTACCTCAATAATTCCAGTAACAGTGTAGGTGATTCCAGTGTCTTTCCTTGCAGTTTTTTGGATAGTTCCCTTAAAATTATTGTACCAAGGATCCATAGGCACCAAAGGCTCATCGTTTAGCAAACGCCTGATGTTTGCAATGATGTCTCTGGGATTATAATTGGGAATAAATGTACTCCAACCCGTTCCAATACCTTCAGATCCATTGACAAGAACTGTTGGTATTATTGGCATGTACCTGAAACACAAGGTCAAATTAGCTACGTCTAAACCACGTCAACTCTTGAGTCATCACCTTTTAACACTAGAAGGATAACTCACCATTGAGGTTCAATGGTCAAGCCATCATCTTTTAAGTAGTTGAGTAACATATCGTCATCCTTGGGAAACAGGAATCTTGTGATTTCAGTAAGCTTTGTGTGTATATATCTGGGGCTGGCAGCATCTTTTCCACCCTGTGAAATAGCAATATAAAATGAGGGGGTCAGCATGACAACTGAACTCACAACATAATCTGATTAATTCTAAGAAGTCAATAATACACAAATTTCTTCTAAGCCAAACATACCATGTTACGCGTTCCGAACTGTCCATGGGGCATGAAAAGATTGATGTTATTGGATCCAACGAAATTCTGTGCCATGCCAACAATTGTGCTCTGTATACTCGCCTCGCCATGATGATAAGATGATTTCTCAGATACGTAACCACTGAACTGAGAAACTTTTGCCTGATTGATCAAGTTTTTCTTAAATGCAGCAAAAAGGACTTTCCTCTGTGTTGGCTTCAGCCCATCTACCATGGATGGGATTGATCTTTGAAGGTCTGCTCTAGAAAACAGTTTCAGTTCCTTATGGACAAAATCACTGTACTTAATTATTTCTTCGTTATGATCGAGGAAATTTCCAACCTGCATCACAACAAATATCAGAAACTACAGCCAGCCCCTTTAAAAAGGTACTCCACAAATTTTGATTAAGGTCAGACCTCGTCTTCCCGAAGCCAATCCTTCCTGGCTTCAATCTTCTTCTTACTAAAGGCCAGCTCAATCGCACTGCCATCATTGTCATTTTCCCAGCAGAAAATCTTTCTGTGCCTCTCGAGATTTGAAAAGTACTCCTTTCCTTCATTTGCGTCACTTGTTCCCAACCCCTGTTTCATTAACCCTTAAATTAAGAAACTCACAAGCCACTCTACCAAATTCAAATAATTATACGTTGTGGTTTAGTCTGTAAAAGCACACCTTATAGTACTTAATGGTCCAACTTTTCAAATTACTTCCCATGCTTCTGATCCACTCTTCATACTCAGGCATGGTATAGAAAGCTATAACCTGTTTTTTATCCCCTTCTCCTTTAATTGCCTGCATTGCAAAAGGTAATGCTATTAGGGTTCCAGATACCCTTCAATGAACTGCATAGCACATAGGGATAAAGAAAAGAGTAGATATACAAATGTTGCAGACCTTCACTATAGGGGTAATAAACTCTTGCATGAAGGAAGGATTCCTCAGCAATGGAGGCCAGAATGTATGAATAAAGTTTATTATAAGCCCCTTGATGTGGGAACCATCATGATCCTGTGAGAGAAAACAAATCAAACTTGATGCACTGATTGATGACTTAATTATACATTCTGGCAGAAAATGAAACACAAATAATTAAAATTGTATTGAGAAATCGAAAATATTTCCAACCTGATCAGCCATGATCATTAGATGTCCATATCGCAATGACTTTATACTGTTATCCTTGTCATACTTTTCTCCCTGCTTGAGCCCAAGAATCTTTTTCAGATTATTAATCTCCGCATTTTCTGTAATCTGCTTAGCACTTGCTTCCCTTACATTTAGCAATTTTCCTCGCAGAGGAAACACACCATAATAGTCTCGCTTAACAACAGAGAGCCCAGACATCTATGTGAAGTTGTTTCAATCGCAAAGCAATTAGAATATCATCAATGAAAACACAAGCCCTAGTGTTCAATTGAAAATCTAATTCAAGCTAAATGACTTACAGCAAGTGCTTTTGCTGAGTCTCCTTCAGTGAGAATCAAAGTGCATAAGTGAGACTTGCTACCTCCGGCCTCATTGGCATCTTCTAGTTTAGGGACATCAAGTAACCTTCTTGTCTTGGACCCATCAGTTTTCTTTAGTTCCTTGGACTGCTTGAGGTCAGCCCATTCAAGGAGGTTATCCACCACACCAGAAGTTTCCACCACTGAAAACAAATTATGGAGGAAAATACCAACATCAGAAAATAAGGCCTTGTTCAGAGAAGAAATATAATGATCAATTCACAAGGCTACAAACCTTTCTTCAAGAACTTTTCTGACAATTCACAAGTAGTACCAAAACTGTTTGTGCGAGTTGTTAGGGTTTCCTTTGTCTGAGAATCAAATGCAGGATTGTCAATAAGAGCATTGACAAACACCCACAAATGGTTCTTCACAATATGTGGCTTGAGGTTTGCACCTTTCTTCTTCTTCTTAACAGCATCAATCACACATTTGGTTATTTGGGCTGTTATGTAATCGACATGAGTCCCACCTTTGATCGTGTTTATGTTGTTGACAAAGCTGACCTGGTTAACAAAATGCATAGGTTAGCCAACTGTGTACTTAAACAAAGAAAGGCATTAACTCCAATGGTCATAGAAATTGTTTGTTACCTGTTGAAATTGCCCGTCACTGCGACTGACAGAGATCTGCCACCTTGGATTCATATCTTCTTTAGTGTTATTGTCAATCCTGTTAACTAAAACAAGTCAGCTTCAAAGAAGATAACTCCCACCTTCAACAACTAGAGCAAATCAATAACAAGGCAAGTTTTTATGCACCTGGGTAGTTCAACTCCTCTAGCATTGTTAGCAGAGTTCAGATACAGCTGAGCATAATCATGAAACGTCTTCACCTGGATCTCATTTCCATTCAAAAACACTCTTACTTTCTTTCCAGGACACGCAGCCAGGCATCCCGCCAAGTCCACAACTCTTTTCTTCATCAAGGCCACCACATCATCTTCGAGATGGGTCATCTGGAACTTGGACAAGTCTGGCCTAAATGTCACTTTTGTCCAATTCTCAGCAGCCTTGCACTTTTGAATCACAGGAACTCCCTTTTGAGACATGTTGTTGCCAAACGCCTTCACATCAACACCACAGGTTACAATTTAGTTTATAATGCAAAATCTTGCACCATATTTCTTAACCAAATCAAATTAGTCATATTATAAACATTATAGTAAATATCTATTGCCTCCTCTTCAACTCAATTCATATTATCACCTATAACTAAACGAGGCGACTAATTACCACCAGAATCACAAAAATGCTGATATTTAAATGCGATGTGTCACTAAAGTATAGGTTTGACTACTGATCATACCCCTGATTGACTCTTGATCTAAAACACATAACTCATGAGAGTTGACGGGTATTTTACTTAATCCCGATTATACGTAATATTACACATCAAGGTTACTACAAGTAAACAATTACCCTAGAGCGCACAACAAATGTGTAGTAATCCAAGTATCATTAATTCGTAAACCAAATTAGATACATGGATTATGTCCACATTACAAAATTAACTACTGAATCATGCCCCTAATGTGCAGTACTCCTAGTTTATCAAGCCTAAAATTCAAACATTATGGAGAAGACGTAGAAGAATAAATCATATATTCTAAAACATTATTTAATGAAGTTGGCTCACTTTTCTATTGCACAACAAATTAACAATAATCAGAACCTTATTAATTTATGTAACAACAAATACAAGTATACAACAATCAATTTCAGTATTCAAACTTCGAACACAAAAACGATTAACCTTAATAATAACAAGTGACTTAATTATCTATTTATTCAAATTAGATCTAGCTCAAAAACAACAAGTAACCTAATAATTAGCAACCAAATAATTATTAAGAATCAACAAACAATTAGCAACCAGAAACCCTAAATTAAGAAATTCAATAAACAATCAACCAAAACCCTAAAAATTACAATCAACAAAAATCAAAAACATCAGAATCAAATAGTACTACGATTCACATAAAAAAAAAACATCCACAAATCACACAGATTAAATGGCCAAAATAATCAAAAACGTTAGAATTTGAAATTATACCTGCTTATACTTCAATTGACGCTTTCCATCAGCAGTTTCAATGATAAACTCAGTAGAGAAAATATTAGTAAGCTTAGCACCATAACCATTTCTACCACCAGTCGTCTTCTTTTCGTCATCATTATAGTTAGAACTGGTCAACAAATGGCCAAAAATCAATTCAGGAACATAAACACCTTCTTCTTTATGCATTTCAATCGGAATACCATCTCCAGTATTATAAACACTAATCAAATTCTCCTCCTGTTTAATCACAACTTCAACTCGATCCATCTTCGGATCCCTCTGCTTGTTATCAGCAGCATTAACGAGGATCTCGTCGAAGATTTTGTAGAGCCCAGGAACATAGCTGACATTTTGGTAGACCATTTGACCCAATGGGTCGTAAACCCAGAGAGATTGTTCGTGTTTTTCGATGGATCCGACGTAAGTGTCGGGTCGAAGGAGGATGTGTTCGAGCTGGGTTTTTTTCTGGTACATTTCTTCGATGGTTTTTCCGGTGGTCGGAAGGTGGTCGGAATCCATTGGTTCGATGTTGACGGTGGTGCTGGTTTGAAGGGGTTGCTTTTTCGGAGGCATTTTTTGGAATGTAGGAGAGAGAAAGACACAGAGATGGTGTCTGAGAAATGGGGGTGGAAATGAAAGAGGGGAAAGAAAGGGGAAAAGGGGTATTTGCAGAAGAAAGGGGGGTAACGGTCGAGAGAATTTGAAAAGGGTTTTAGAGGATTTGAAATTTGAAATGTGGGCGGGATTTTGGAAAGTTTGTTTGAATTCACCTGACAAATACGGTGACACGCATTTTTATACACTCACGCTCTCTTTTGGACCATCATGTACAAAAACCTCACTATAATCATTTCCGTCTCCACCATAATCCTGCAACAATGCCATATTATTTTTAAATACATATAATTATATAAAGATTAAATTAATACATTTAACACATAAGTAATTTCTAAATTTTTTATTTGTAAATTTCATTTTTATATTTAACGCATAATACATTTAATTTCTAAATTTACACATAATTATGTATAAAAGTATTCATACACATACAAAATTAAAACATAATTTTATATATTTTTTTAAATTATTAACACATATTTAATTTACATATACAAAATTAAACATAATTTTATTAACACAAATTTAAAACATAATTTCAAATTAAAACAATTTTTTTTTTAACTTATTAACACATATTTAATTTCAAATTATCAAAGTTAAAAAACCACAAAAAAAAATTTAAAAAAAAATTTAAATAAAATTATAAAAAAAAATACGAAAAGTAGGGATGGGGTCTGGCCGGGACGCCATCACCGTGGCGTTGGCGCCTGGCCGGGACGCCGCTACCGTGGGGTTGGCGCCGTGGCGTTGGGCAAATGGATGTTTAATAATTGTGGGCTTTAATTTCAAAGTAAAAATTAGAAATGTATCGTTTTGTTGTGTCGAGAGTTGAAACGTGTTGTTTTAGGCTGGTTTTGTTTTATGGGTTTATGAATGGGCGGTCATTTTGATGGATGTAAGGCCCTTCTGTTTTAGAAGAAAATAAAATGTTTGGTTCATCTTTGAATAATTTAGCTTGGGGGTTATTCAGTTTGTTAAATTAAAATGGATTGTTATGAAATCTCATATTAGGTAGATATGGATTATATATCGTTTTATTTATATATATAAATAAAATGGATGTTGGAATGGTTCCAATATCATTAATGGGATGAATTGTGAATGTAAGGTTGTGAGATGGGAATGAGATCCTATGGGGATAAAGTATAGAGTTAGAAGCTTAGAACATTCCTATGTTATGCGGTTTCATAGCTAAAAGTCTAACCAAAATATAAATTTGATGGAATTCACTCTAACTCCATTTCAACTCATTCTAAAAGGTTAAATTAAAAGCCTTCTCCATACTCTATCTTCTAAGAGCACTCCCAGCAGTGAGGAGAAAAGCCCTCACGAGTAAAAATAAGGGTGTAAAAAAAAAATCCGAACACTACATCAGTGAGTGAAAAAATACTCACCGATGAGTGAAAATAAAAACCCTCAAGAGTTGAGGGCTTTTGGTGATGAACAGTAACATGTGGCCCCCACTGCTTTTGTTGTTTTTTTACAACGGTTATATTTTGTATTTGAAATATAACCGTTGTAATTATTTTAAAAAAAATAAAAAATTCACCAACGACCATAAAAATTTTTTCTCTATAAATAGACATGCATTTTGATATACTTTCAAAAAAACCCATAAATTAGAGAAATTAACATATTTTCCCAATTTCTTCTTGTTATTATTATTATTATAATTATTTCTTATAAAAAAAATTTCTAGTTAGTATTATTAATATTTTTAAACGTAATTATAAATTTTTATTAAATTATTTTTAAACGTAATTAAAAAATAAATTAAAAAATAGTGGAGGAGAAAGTGATGAGAGGTTTTTTTTCTCCTCATTGTTGTGGTGAAAAAAACATTTGATGAGAGAAATTGTATGGGAGGAGTGAGAAAGTGGGTAGAGAGAGATTGAGAGGTTTTTTTTTTTCCTCACTGCTGAGAATGGTCTAAGTGAATTGGCATTACCTTAGTAAGGTTAGGGGTGTAGATCCAAGAATTTAGTATGGTGTGGGTAGCTATTTGGTAGAAGACTGGAAAATAATATAATATATTGCATGATTAAAATATATATGGGGTAAGGACTCAGTCAATCACATAACATAGAGCATGAAGTGAAAGCGTTGAAGAAAAGAGTGAATGAATTTGCATCACATAGGATGAGTGGATAAAACTTTAGTTTTAACTAGAATATTATTTTTTTGTGAACATCTGAAAAGAAATGCGAGAAGATTATAAATGAACAAAGTATTTTTCAGGCTTATTTTTAAAATTTAGATAAAAGACGATAGGAATTCAGAAAAATTGAATGGAAAACCGGGCCTCCTTATAAAATTTACTTTCCTTTCTTTCAACAATTGGAGAAATATCGAAAGAAAAAAGAACATTGAAAGCCAATAAAATAAAAATTTTCTTTTATACCTTTCACTTATCTTCATTAAATCAAACCTCGAATAGTAGGTATCTTTCCTTTCTCTGCCTTTATCTTTCTTTCACTTCCCTTTTCATCCATGTTGTTACTTAATTTAAACTAAAATAAGCGTAAGTGCTTTAGTATTTCTTATTTTGCTTCTTGGTTGATGTCAAGGTGGAATGGAATAAAAATAGGAAATCTATGAGTGGGATGAAAAACAAAATATCGTCTTTCCTTTCTTATTTTACTTACATTACCGTTTTCTAATTAACTCCCGTAATTATAGCCTCGACTGACCGTTTTAAATAAATTCAGTTCCGTTTTCAACAATGATTAAATGTTCCATGTATCTTAGTCAAATCAAAGTTTACACTCATTTATCACAATTGATAACCTTTATACTAACATTACAAATGGTCTCTCACTCTCTTATTGAAACCTAGAGTATGCAAATAATAAAGTCTATAAAGTGGTTGACACAATGTTTGTGTTTGTTGTTCTATAATAATCTTGTAATTTCAATCCATACAAGTAAAGATGAAATTCCCTCAAACTTTTGCTCTATAGTCATGACAACTCACAGAAAAATCATATTAACAAGAAAACATGAATAATACTATTTTTTTTAAAGAAGATTAACTATTGCGAATTTTACTAAAGAAATATCAATTGCTCCCTCCATTCTATTTTCACCTTATATTTCAAACGTCACAAAAGAGTTTGACACGAATTTTAGGCAATACATTATACATGGGAGTATGGGACTCAATGGGAGGGGGTCAAATGAGAATATGTGTAGTTAACAATTAATGCCTTAATCGGGCTAGATATCTAACTATAACATGGACTATAATTTTCAAATATAAATACACTGTACTACACCACGTACATGATAATTAATATGAAAACTACTTTGTGGCTAGTATCATAACTTGTCATACAATTTCATTATTTATTACAAACTTACAAGTATTGTAATTACTAATTAGTTTAAATAAAATTGGTTGAGATATTTGAGAACTACATTATAAAATTGATCTACTAATAGTCGAATATTTTATTTATTTATTTATTTGTTTTTTATTTTTTATGTGCACAATTGCACAAATAACAAATCATGACTATAGCCATGTTGAGAGGAAAGAAAAAAGACAACAAAAAATGCACAGAAAAGATGCGGAGTAATAGTAAGCCTGTTTGAAGTTTGGCACTAACTAACGAGCCAATCACGCTAGTTTTAACACACAGTTTTGATGCTATTTGTATTAATATTGCACGTGCTTCTGCTAACAATCGGTGCTGTTTTTCTTCCTTTGCTTTGACAATTTCATACTTACGTATTTTCTTTTACTACTACGTCAAGTTCACGAATTCAATGGCAACAAATAGAGTATGATAGATTTTCCCCCAAGATAAAAGAAATAATAGGATCCCTCAAAAAAAATTTTAAAAAAATAATAGGATGTCCTTATCAAAGAGAAGAACAAACATGATACAATTGGCTTCTACATACGGCATATTTTGTCGATATGAAGTACTCGTATATAGAGTACTCTATATGATCAAACATCCCATAATTATTACGGAATATAGAGTATTTTACTATAAGTAATGATTGAAAATTACTTCCTGGCTTATAAGAAATTTTTATTTACTTGATTCCGAGTATAAAATTTGAAATTATGTTGTTCTCAAAAAAAATAAAAAAAAATAATAATAAAATTGAAATTATGTAAGAGGTTCAATAATTTTCAATTAAAAAAAAAGAAAATTTAGCACTTCGAAATTTGAAACTCAATATCACCATAATCTAAGGAAAAAAAGAGTGGGTTTGAAATTAAACCGACAAAGAGACAAAATCAACAATTTGTATCCTTTTCCCTGAGCCCATTATCCTCTACCTCTGTTACTGTAACTGGCCTTTCATTATAAAATTGAACCCATCTTCTCATTGAAACTCATTCATACACACTCTTATAAAAAGCTTAACTTGTTTTTCTCTCTCCTCAAAACCAAAAATGGCAGCACCAATTTCACTCTGTGTCTCTTTAGCTCTGCTACTCACAATTTGCACTGCCTTGGGAGCTACACCTACTAAAAATCACAGGGGAGGTATTATTTAAACTCTTCTCATATTTTTCATAAAATATACTGCATCATTTTTTTTTTTTTATGTTATGTTAATTTCACCTGATTTTTTCTGTACTTGCCTGAATTCATACTGTATAAATAGTAATGCATACTGTAGCTCAGTAAAATGAAGATGAAACCCTCTTATTTTCTTGTGTTGAGTTCAAATGTTGGTTTGTTATTAGAACATTTAGTAAAAATGTGTCAAATCTTGGTACAAATTCAGGGGTTTTACTAGGAGCTTCTGAAAATATGGATCTTTTTGCTAGACCTATCAAATATAACTAAAAAGAACAGTTTTATGTACTTTTATTGCTTTGTGTAGTTTGGTACGTAAACACTGAAAGGTCTGAAATAAGTACTTTTGTTTGGAATTATTGTCAAAACACTACAAGCGTTAACTTTTCCACTTACTTAACTTAAGAATTAACCCATTTCATTGTCTTTAGGGCTGATTCCAAATGGTAACTTTGAAGAGCCACCAAAACAAGTGAAGAATACCAAAATCATAGGGAAATTCTCCTTACCTAAATGGGAAATCAATGGACTTGTGGAGTACATTCGCGGTGGACCTCAGCCGGGAGGGATGTACTTTGCCGTCGCCCATGGAGTCCACGCTGTGAGACTCGGGAACGAGGCTTCAATCTCACAGACAGTGCCTGTGAAACCAGGGTCATTCTATGCACTGACCTTTGGGGCCTCTAGAACTTGTGCCCAAGACGAGGTCCTAAGGGTCAGTGTCCCTCCTTTTCAGGGTGACTTGCCCATTCAAACACTTTACAGTATTGATGGAGGTGATACTCATGCTTTTGGTTTTAAGGCCGTTTCTAAGGTTGCTAAGATTACTTTCCATAATCCTGGGGTGCAAGAAGATCCTACTTGTGGACCTCTAATTGATGCTATTGCTCTCAAGGAGCTTTTGCCTGTTTACCCTACCAAAGGTATCTCAGCTAAATTTGTTGTTTGATTGTTGCATAATCTGCTTTGTGATTCACAATGGCTTGATTTTCCTGCATCATCGTCAAATATATTCCGCGACTTGTAAATTCTTGATCCAAGAATTTTTGTTCATAAGAATCAGCTAGCAAATTAAACTACTTTCTATCTGTATTTCTGAATAATGTATTATACTGTTGGATACTTTTAAGTAATGATGCATTTCCAACCAGAACTCACAAGTAAATACACTGTGTATAACAAGATACTTTGAAGCATACCATGCTTGATTTTTGTGGTCCATATAGCATGTTACAACTTCACACTTAAATACTTAATATTGCAGACTATTACAAAATCAAATCGTATTTTTCTTCTACAGTTGCTAGCCCTTTGATCTATTTAAATTTCTATCCAAGTTGTTAACCTATCTCGGCAATGTCCTAACAGGGAACCTCGTAAGGAATGGTGGTTTTGAAGAGGGCCCTTACAGGTTGCTCAACTCATCAAATGGGATACTCATTCCTCCCAAACAAGAAGATATCAACTCGCCGCTCCCTGGATGGATCGTTCAATCCCTCAAGGCAGTTAAATTCATTGACAAAAGGCACTTCAATGTTCCGTTTGGCCGTGCAGCTATTGAGCTAGTAGCAGGAAGGGAGAGTGCCATAGCCCAGGTTATCCGCACAATCCCCAACAAGACATACAACCTCACCTTCACAATCGGAGATGCTAAGAATGGTTGCAAAGGATCAATGTTGGTGGAAGCATTTGCAGGGAAGGATACCCTAAAAGCACCCTTCCTGTCCCAGGGTCTTGGGAGGTTCCGAACAGTCAGTATGAAATTTAAGGCAATTTCTCCCAGGACTAGGGTTACTTTTTTCAGCTCCTACTATCACAGCAGGGCCGATGGGTTTGGTATACTTTGTGGTCCAGTTCTTGATGAAGTTAAGGTTTTCCCTACTGCTTAGATGGTAGGAGTGTATTATGCAATGTTATCCCTTCAGCCATCCTTGTATAACTTCTTGAGTCTAGTTGATACTATGCCTTTTGCTACAGGTTTGGGATTTGTTATGCCACTTATATTTCAAAGGCATGCATTACAGACTGTAGTTTAAGCAAAGACGGTAATGTACTAAAGGGCAACTGTTATTTGCTTCTGCTATTATGTAGTAACGTTACACCAATTTGTAGCAGCGAGCTAATACTATTCCCCTTAATATTCTCTTCATGTGCACAACCTACTTTGTATTATAGGGAAGATCTCAGAACTGCAGGATGTTCATGTAATTTGCGTATATAAGTTACACAACACTTGATGGCGAAGAAAGCTCCTTCTTAGTCCGTAATTCCTAAGCAAATGCCTATTGACCAGATATTCCTGTCATTCTTTGTTAAAAAAGGAATAAGGTACCATCATAAAATCCTTGAATAATGAAAACTGTACTATCGTAATTTTCAATCTACTTATTCTACTATTCGACTGTAAACATCAGACAGAGATCATAGAGTTCTGGTGCAACTACCATTATGCTCAGACAGCATCTAACAGAGGGGATAGCACATGTCAGCTCCAATCCTTTGGGAACTAGGAAAGCCACATATATTAGTCCCTTGAATTATTCGTACCAGATTGAGATTGGTAGATAAAAATATGGACTTTACCACACTAGTCTGTTGAATTAGTTTCTGATACAATTTAAGTACTCTATGGTTGAAGTTAGGTTTAGATAAAATGGCTTACTGCTAATCCAGGAATAATATTTGTTCTCATGCTTTTTATATATGTCACTGATTTTTTTCTCCCTATATGTGGCAAATCCCCCACATTTTTATGTGAATCTGGAAATTTGTTCACATTAAAAAATTCTCAGTTGATAACCAACACCAATGCACATTATTTCAGAGGCCAAAAGCCTAAAATGAAAAACAACAAAAACCAATCTAACAAAATAGATGGGTAAAAGTTATTTCATAATAGTAAGAATCAATGTACTACATAATTGTGAGATATACAACATATTGACCTATTTTCAATAAAAACAATATGAGACTCAATTCGAAACAGAATTGACCCATCTTCAATCAAAACAATAAGTGACTCAATTCGAAACAATATTAATAATTTTTTAGCTCACGTGTCATGTAGAGGCAGGGCAAGTATTAGCATAAGACCATAAGTTGTAATTTACCTCTTGCCAATCATTGCTCGTTTAAGACTTCACCACACAGTTACTTCCCTCCTTTGTTATCATCTAAGATACCCACCAAGCACTTCTCAAGTAAGAAATCTGCATTTACCCAAGCATGGTATTTATCTGAAGAAGGGTCAAGGGTTACAAAACAAGCCTCAATAGAACAAATATTGAAAGCACTAGATTAGCACTTAAAACATGTTTAAAACCACCAGTGACTCCTTTATATGTTAATCAACACAACCACTGAATTGAATTTAATTTGATACATGCATCTTTAATCTGAATAACAATCAATTCTCAGGGTGCGAAAAAAAGATTTCACAAGCAAATTACTCCCTCTGTCTGGAATACACAACTCACATATACTAGTAATATGCAAGGAAGTCTAGTAAAAGCTGTCACACATTTCCTAATATAGTAAGTTTTTTTTTCTGATTGGTTGCGCTGCGATATGGCCTATATCCAAATATGAAATTACAACAAACCAAAAGCCTAATTCCAAGGAGTCATATCCTTAAGATACTTGAGTAGTGAAAAAAATACGGTTAAAGTCCAACTACTTGCAAGGGTCTTTTTTTGTAAAATTATTTCATATGATGAGGAGTTAAGGGCCTTGGGGCAATGTGACTTTCCAGGCAGAAGGAGTATTTATCTTTCTAAAAATTCACTTGGATGAGGAGAGCTCTGAATGAAATTCCAATTGCCAAAGGATACTGAATAATGATGTGCAGTCTTTTCCTACAGCTTTCATTAACATATCAACACCTGGAGACAAAACAATCAGCACAAGAAGTCAGAAATTAGTAGCAGGAGAGCCAAGCGAAGCAATTCAAAGAGGATCTTGTATTGACGGGGTGGGATCATGGCCAATAACTAAATAAAGTCTATCAATGACTAGGAGCAGCATTTTTTTTACAGAAATTAATTGCCTAAAACAACTAGAGAGAGAAATCTCATTATTCTCATTGTCATTAGCCATTAATTTTCAACGGATAACGGAGTCATCTAAGATTTTACTGCTAAATAACTTTATGATAGAACAATCATTTTCACTTTAGATTTATTTTAGTGTTGGGGAGTGGGGGAGCACTAATTGATAAGAGCTTTCCTCAATTTGAAGGAGAAATAAAGATGAAGCTTCATCAATATCTAAAATGCATCAGGAGTAGGATAACTTAGAAGGGAGTAGGGAAGGGAAATAGACTATGTTGGATGGGTAATGCTCCGAGTGCTATGTATTATATGGCCCCACAAAACTATACAAGTAAGACATAATTGTGATAAGTCTTATCTATATAAGTAGTCAACTATCCTGCACAATTAGCTGCTTGGCAAAGGTCTTCAACAATATATAAAAAGGCCTTATGATAATGGGTCATAAGCGGCTATCACCAACTCAATTGCACAAAGCCACAAAGCATAAAAGCAAGACGAACCTCTTTAGGTTCAAGAGAAAGCCTTCTAACCTACTCAGTCTATTTCAATTACAACTTGATCTATGGGAATACGGAACCTAGATAAAGTAAAGCATCATGCCAAAATAAATGATATCCAGAGATTTCGCCAGATATGGACCATCTGTGGGGAATGCATACTGGTTATTTATATCCTCACAAAAATATGAACAGATCAGAACCACCAGGCAACACCCAGTATATTCATGTCCGGTGAATACAGGAAAGAAGGCTATAAGCGGTGATAGGGACACAGGGTATGGTTGTACTGCTCAGACTGTAGCCAATCACCGTACTTACCTAGGAAACATTCTTTACTGCGGTTCACTTGGTGGACATGCTGATGCATGTATAAATAAAGGTCATATATTGTGCCAAACAAATGATAGCCCAACTTAAGATATAAGCCTATGTACACTCATTATATCCAGTTTTCATGAAATTTTTGCAATATGAATGGGGACATTGCTCAGAACACCTGGAAGTTAAGGCTTCAGGGTTGAAGGTATTAATAAGGTCTTCCTTTGTCTATTGTGCCATTGTTTTATTTTATCTATTATGAAAGTCACACTAATTGTTCCTGCTATTTCATTTATGCAAAGGTCATTTTTTTCTAACATACCATAAAACTCAGCAGAAATTCTTTCCAAAATCACCACAGGACTCAGCACCTAAACAGATATATATATAAAAAATAAAATAAAATAAAAAAACAAACTCCAGGTTTTGACAGCCTGTACCCTTCTTCCTGATCCCATACTAAATCCCATAGATGGCATTCTTTTATCTATTGACTACTGTTTAATACAATGGACCCTGTTTTTTTTCCCTATTGAATTCATTAAACAGCAAAAGCAGTGTGCATTTCATTAAAGAAAATTTCAAAATTGTAGGGCATATACTGCAAACATGTCAGCAGACAGAACATAAAATTAACTTCTGGATGGTAACAAGGATAGATAAATTGCTCACAGCAGTCAGTACATAACATATGGATGATAACGAAGATAGATAAAACTGGGAACAATAATGAAGACAAATAAAGTACGGAGTACATAGCTAACAGCAAAAACAGTGTCCATACCTCCAGGGTGAAATTTCATGTATGGAGAAATGTTATAAACACGTCCTTGCAGAACCGTCCACATGGTGCCTTCTGATTGATGTTGTTTGACTTCACTCATAGGTATAAGCCTCCTGTTTGACTGGCCATTCAATCCTATATTAACAGTTACACAAAATTAACATTAAGGAGCATTCCTGATCCGCTTAATATGACCAAGGAGCAAGAGTTGCCATATGAAATAGCCAGTCATCTAATTCTAGGCTTGCATACACAATTAGGGAAAAAAAGAACAGGACATTAAAGAGCATTAATTAATGACCACTATATACAACAAAATCCAGGAGTAGCCTTAAATCATTGTCGCTCATCTAACTCTAGGCTTGCATGCACAGTTAGGGTATTTGATCAATTAAAATGGGTTGAAAGGCGGGGTGTCTCCTGTCTGTTATCACCCTCCCCAACACCCCAAAGCACATTCATCCAGACACAACAAAAATATACTACATGAACTAACCTGCAAGGTCAGGATGTGTACGAGTAAGCTTGACCCAATCCATTGGACTATAACCTTTTTCAAAAGGAACCTTGGCCCGAGCAGCAGGCTTCTTGGCCACAGGTTTCTGTTCTGCTGGATCCTTTAATGGTTTCCCTGCTTGTTTTTGTGCAGTGCTAGCCTGCTTTTGAGTTGTATCGATGACATTGAAAGACAACGATCCAACTTTTTTCTCCTTCACAGTGGTAGATATAGGAACAGTTGTATTGTTCCATAGATTAATTTGTTCACCACTATTACTATTTGAGGCTTCCTCATCAATAGTGATTTTACTTATACCCGGAACCACAGTTTGTTCATTAAAATCATTCTGATCAACGGGTGCACTGACCTAGATACAAAAATAAAATATACAAATTTCACGCTACGTTCTTACAAAATATCATAGTCTGATCAATGAAACAGTAACTCGAACTTACCTGACAAAATGTGAAATCGTCATCCTTTCCGCTATCCATTCAAACAATCAAATACAAAGCTTATGAAAAAAACCCTTCCTGTTAATCCAATATACAATCAATAAGCTTTTCCGTTCGACACACAAAATGTAACTTAAAATTTATAAAGAGCAGTTCAGAGCTTCAAATCTAGCTCTCAACCAATAAAATTCCTTTTGTAATTCAAAAAAAAAAAAAAAAAGTATTTTCCCCATTAAGACTAAATTATCATATAATATTTGTAACAAGGATCAACAATTCAAGGAGCTAGCTTAAGAACATCATACAATCAATCAATTCAATAAATTTCATTTCTCGTCAAAATCCCTTCAACATCAAAATTAAAAATTCAATCTGTATACACTCTTCCACATCAAACCCTAGAATCAAAATTACCCTATTGCATTCATTATCATGTAATTACAATCAAACAAGTGGGTTAACAAATCTCGTTATAAAGTTGCATAATTATCACACTTGTAACAATTAACAAAATTAGTTGATGGTAACAAATAAAACGAAGAATTTCTGATATCTTAATCATTCTAAAGTCTGCAATTCAAAATAACATTATTCTCAACAATCAAGCAAAAACTTAAACTTTAATTAAAATCTAAATACAATCATCAAATAGATCAGAAATTGTAAGATGAAAATGATGAGAGAAATCAAATAAATTTGATTAAAATTCTGAACAAAATAAAGTTGAATCATCAAACCTTGAAAGTGTTTGATCAGTAAACCTCTCTCTTCGTCAGTTGTAGTGTAATTGAGCCGCCAAGAGATTGTTGGGTTGCATGGTCGATAAAAATGGTGATTATTTATTTATTTATTAAATATTCATTTATTTTTATACATTATTTTATTTAATTTTTTTAGTTGTAACTTGTAAGAAAGGAAGTCAAATTTGGCAGGAATAGGAGCCAATAATAGGCTGCTTCAATCTAGCCCATTGGGCCGTCAAATTTGCAAGATAGATCCAATAAAAACTCTGAGCCTTATGACTTATGAGAATAAAAAAAAATTACCTCTCTTTGAAATGATCGCAATAATTTGACTTTTATACTAATGTAATATTCATATACGATTACTTATTTTGATTATATAATGTTTTCATGTAATTTTTTTTTAAAAATTAATCTTTATATATTTTAATTGTACCAACCATTTATACTTCTAATTAATATATAATTACAAATATTAGTGATCAATTTGGTGCATTGACACATGAGTCAATCAAACTGCTATGATTATTATGAAATTGAGAGAATAGATATGTGTTGATTAAGATAAATAAATTGCGAGACTAATGAGATTTTAACCTATTTGAGTTATAATATGCGTTCCTTTAGCTCATTTGCACCTATTTATTTATAAAAAATAATAATAAAAAAAAAACAAAACAAAAAACTTTAATAAGCTCATTCATATAAATACAAGTCCAAACATGTTCTTAAAAGTTCATCCCATTTTGACCGTACACATTTGTCAATACAGTATTTTAACCGTGAATATTTTTAGTTGCATATTAATAAATATACAACATTTCGTTGTACATTAATAATTGTTGAAGTATATCCTACCAAATAACACATATAAGTGTCCCACATTGAGAAAAGAAGAGCGAGTCAAACACTTTATAAGGCTAAGGGGATACTCCACTTATCACTATATGGTTTTGGGATGGAACCTCATTTAGACTTGTGAAGTGGACTCCCTCTATTGGTTTGCGGGCCCAGACCCGTATCTATTAACTATTACTAAAATGAAACATGCTTCTGGCATTATTAAGGGACACATGTCAACTTTCTATGAAAATTTACCCGCCTAAACTATTTTTGATATCTTCCCTTTTTTTTTTGCTTCAAATTTTCATGATTAAATAAATACAATACTTCTTTCAAAATAAATTGATGAAATTATGATTACACTATTTTTCAAATAAAGAATATTAACAACTATATTAAACAAATAGTAGCTATTTAATTCGTGCAACGCTTGGAACGGGTTTAACAATAATCTACGGGATAAATCAATCAAAACTCAACATGATTATATTTTGTTTTATATAATAAGTATATACTAAGAGTAATATAGTAGATTTTCTGATGAATAATGCCAAGATTTTAGATACATACAAGTTGAAAAAACATTCCAATGATGTAATTATAGCATATGGCTTTAGGAGAAGAAAAAAAAAAAAGTAAAATTATTAGATGGTCCATCACTACTAGTACAATCAATCCTTTTATTTTCGTTTTTTTCGTGCTCATCTAAGACGACTACCTAGAATCATTCAAATCAATTGCATGTGAATTTTAAACAATACAAAGTATAAGATTTACGAGTAGAGATAGATTTCAACAATCAGTTTAATTTGAAGTAACTCCACACACATCAATACATCATAATATGTACATAAAAAGTACCAAAACACAATCACATATAAGTACTTATTTACGAGCCCAAATAATACGTAGTGTTATCTTAGAACCGTTTTTTAAAAAATAAAATAGCACAAACCAAGTGATGTCCTCATGAATAAAATTCACAGTTAACTATGGTAAGTAGAGATGGCATTGGATCGGATTTGGATCGGGTGGAGCTTCACCCGCATCCATCCATTATTTCAATTGCTCCATCTACATCCATCTGTCACCTGCTTCACCCATTATCCATATCCATCCATCCATCATCCACGGATGAAACGTGTGGAGCGGAGGACTAACGGATGAATAATTAAAGTGAAAAAAATCCACATAAACTCTAATTTTCGATTATTTATACAATAAATTTCTATTTTATAATAAAAAAGAAAAGTATAACAACGTATTCTTTAAAAAAAAATTAACTTGCAAGAGTTGCAACACAAAAATAAGTAATTTTCTTGCAATTTTTTTTTTATTATTTAAAATTTATAAATAAAAAATTAAATATATGTTAAATGCGTGGGTGGATGGTTAACGGGTGAAGTAAGTATCATCCATATTTGATCCGATCTGATCCATCACTCGCTTCTCATCCATTTAAAATAGATTTTCATCCATTTCATTTGAAACGGGTGGAGTAGATTAACGGATATCCATTTAGTATTGCCATCGTTAATGATATGCATCATACATTCATAGTTTCATACTACAATAAAATACGAAAGTCACAAGATTACCTCACACAATCGCAACTGAAATTAAAAATCTCACGCAATCGCAACTGAAATTAAAAATACAGATTAGAGTAGTGTTAACATCAAACAACTCATTATAGCGAGGATGTCTGTGTTCTGAAAATAGAAAATACAACTCAATAGCCGTTTTTGTTAGACGATAACAGCAAACAAACAAAATTAGACACTTGGCACGGCCCCTCCTTACTGCTTCTCACGCTATACGGCACTATTTCTATTTCTTCTGCATTCCCAGATTTCTTAAAGTCTTTCTACTTTTCCCTTCTCCTTATTTCTCTCTATAGGGTTCTCAGATCTTCTTCTTTCCCATTATTTTTGGAATATTTCTTTTTGATTGAATTTTAATTAATTGATTATATTTAGAGTGAAAGATGTCAAAGACTGGAGCTTTTGATCTCGCTAGTGGCGTTGGCGGAAAGATCGAGAAAGATGATGTCTTCTCCGCCGTTGACAAGTAATTTCTCTTTCTATCTTCTACTGCATTGTTATAATTATTCGGAATTCGAATCTGTGACCTAACCCTCTTTCTTTGCCACTTAAAACTAGAAACTTTTGTGAATATGATGAAGGGGAGATAGATTATGGTAGTTGAATACTTGAATTGAGTATTGGGGTCCACTAATTGAGCAATGAAAAAAAGAGAAATAACTCACGTGATATCTGAATTTATGAACCCCCAACTAACAAAACTTGCTCTATTGAATTTATGATGTTTGATTTACTATTTCAGTATTTGTCAATTGTCATAATTGTTGGTGTTGTTGATGATGGTCAATTCAAGGATGTTTGTTGGGTTAGATCCATACTTTTATTATGTAAGCAAAAATCTAAGTGTTTTTCTCCACATGTGTTTGTTGTGCCCACCTCATGCTCTGTGTCTCAGTGTCGTAATTCGTGACCTACGGAGTTATCGTGGGACTTATCGATTATTTACTTGCCACTTTTTATTTTAATTTGTTGAGGAATTCTACTTGCACAATCTAAGTGTTTTTCTCCTCATTGAGGAATTAATAAGTCAACGGTTATAAAATGAGTACATTTTGTGTGAGTAGTTATTGTTCACTCAGCATGGTTTACTACATGTTTAGAGCTTTACCTTTGTACGTATCGAAATGATAAACTTGTGAAGAACATGGGAAATTTGTAATTTCAGATCAAACTGTTCATGACGAAGCTTATTATTGCCAATGATGTTAAAGTAGTTAATATGAACAGTATATAATTGTATGCAACAGATGCAATCTAGTTTTTGTCGTATTATGATTTCTACTACAGTTGAAGTAATTGTTTTTCTTTTTCTGTTTACACTTTTCTTGAATCTGCTACTGTAATGAAAGCCAACGCAAACCGTTTACCAATGTCGTCTCTTGAAAGTTCTGACTTTGTGATGCAATATTTTACATATGTAATCTTGATATCTTCTTCTATATTTAGAATATTCGTTCTGTTTGTGATCCCTCAGCGTCAAGTAATTAGTATACTTTTCTTGCTTCAGGTATGAGAAATACCATGTCTACTATGGAGGTGAAGAAGAAGAAAGAAAATCTAACTACACTGATATGGTAATGAACACTAAAATTGCACCTGTTGTAGATTGGTTTGGGGCTTCTAGTTTGGTGGTTGATTGTTTTTGCGTCATCTAGTCCTACATTTGTTTTGGTGTTGCCAACTTCCACTGACTTGCTCTAAGTATTGATTATCAAATATATCATCAAATGGAACATGCTAGTGTCCAAGTACATGATAGGGAACATGTCATTGTGTAGAAGTATCTTTGCTACTTAGGTATGAACGTATGAAGTATGGATTGTATCTTACTGTGGCAAAATGAAACTTGAGTGGTTCATCCAGTTAGAGAGAGAATGTGCAAGTTTGGGTACAATCTTGTGTGGTGAGAAATATATAGCCCCAATTCCAATTTCAATGTAAACGTCTCTAGTGTTGAAATAACTTTATTAGTTTAATTTATTTTCAACTTGATCTATTCTGTTTTGAAGGTCTAAGCTTCGCTATTCTATTGTCATATGTATTTGTGTAGATAAAACCAATTTATATTTGGGATTGGCCATAAGTTAGTTTCATTTTCCTTGGGTGAAGGATACAATAAGCATTGCTTCATACTATAATGCTGGCTTTATAAATTAATTTGATTGCTTCTGAGGATGTATGCTTCTCTGTTAGGCTGGATAAGTATTCTAGTAATGATTACTGAGCATGAACTTTAGCTTGCACTGCATTATGTAATTATATTATTCTGACTATATCTCAATTCCAAGTTTTGCACTCCATAGAATCTAAATTTTGTATTCGTCTTAACTGGTGATTTGGTGAATGATGATCACAGAATCTTTGTCGAGGCTTGATTGTAATGTTTTTTTACATAATTACTTTTTTTTTTTTTTTAATATCTGATTGAGCTATTAATCTTGGTGTACTCTAATGACAGGTCAACAAGTATTATGATCTGGTGACTAGTTTCTATGAGTTTGGCTGGGGAGAGTCCTTTCATTTTGCTCACAGGTTTGCCTTTATTCTTTTAATAATCTTTTTATTTTTTTAATTACAACTGCTAGCATGTTTCTCCTGCTTTTACCTTTTATAAGAATGAAATTGCATGTACTTTTATGCTTACAGATGGAATGGGGAATCTCTTCGTGAAAGCATCAAACGCCACGAGCACTTCCTTGCTTTGCAACTAGAACTGAAGCCTGGTCATAAGGTTTTTTTTTTCTCCTTCCTTTTGGGATGTATGGTGGGCTAGTATTCACACTGAGAATTAATCCCAATGTTTTTTCTGAATTTGGGTGTTTGGATTTTCCTCAGGTGTTAGATGTGGGATGTGGTATTGGAGGGCCTCTCAGGGAAATTTCTAGATTCAGGTATGCCCTTTGGCATGCAACCTTTCATGTTCACTGTTCTAAATTTTATATTCTTGCTCTTTAGCTCTAAAGTCTTTGTTAATATGCCTCTTTGGGGAATACTATCTGTTTGCATTGTGTATCTGTACTTTTTCCAAGTACAGTTGTTGTATTCATGTTGGTATTCTGTAAAATGTTCTGAGTTTTCAGTGTGGTACATGTTATTCTGTAATATTTGAGTAATAATATCGCTGCTGAACCAATCAACCTGGCGTCATCGTAAGTGTTGTGCAGTACCTGCTAGTAGTGTTGGTTACAATATCATGTCTGGTATAAAGCTAATGTTTTGAAAATCCTGCCCTTTTCATTCTTTTGGATTTTTTTTTTTTGTCGGAGATCTGAATTGTTGAATATTTGTCAGCTCGACATCTGTGACAGGGTTGAACAATAATGAATATCAAATTACTAGGGGGAAGGTATGATCCCACTCTGTCTTTTGGTGCTCTTTACCTCTCTTGTTTCTATTTCTGCATTAGGTGAATATGTTTCCGAATTTTTCACGCCAGCATCATTTCCTTTTTCTGTTAATTGTTGGATACGCTTTTATGCTTGTTTACTGATTGAGCCTTCACTGCATGACAGGAACTGAATCGGATTGCAGGGGTTGACAAGACATGTAATTTTATCAAAGTAAGGTTTAACCACATTATGGAGGTTTAACTTCAGCAAATGTAGCTTTAAAGTTTATAGAGATATGGATAACCTCTAAATCACTTGCATCTTTAAATCATTGTTTTCAGGCTGATTTCATGAAAATGCCAATGCCCGACAATTCATTTGATGCTGTTTATGCCATTGAGGCAACATGTCATGCACCAGATGCTGTATGTTGTACAATAATCTCCTTTCTTTCTCAACTATTTATAAGCTGAGACTATTTATACTCACATGTATGTTATTTCATTTCTGTTGACGAAAGGTCGGGTGCTATAAAGAGATATACAGAGTGTTAAAGCCTGGGCAACATTTTGCTGCATACGAGTGGTGCATGACAGATGCCTTTGATCCCGATAACCAAGATCACCAGAAAATCAAGGTTGTTACTGAAACAACAGTATCTGATTATGCTTTCTAGTGGTCATTATTATATGCAATTGTTGTGGATGATTAATATCTTAAAATTTGGTATTTTTGTTGGCAATTTGACAAGTTCAGTCAGAAATTGAGCTTGGTGACGGGCTTCCAGACATCAGATCAACTAGACAGTGCCTTGATGCTCTAAAGAAGGCAGGATTTGAGGTCTGCAGTTATGGATATCTCATTGTTTTATTTTTGCTCAACCTCCATTCATTCTTTATGTTCTAAAGTTGTGAATTATTGTTATTTAAGGTCATTTGGGAGAGAGATCTTGCACCTGATTCACCAGTTCCTTGGTACTTGCCTTTGGATACAAATCACTTTTCTTTTAGTAGCTTCCGTCTAACTTCTGTTGGACGTTTCTGCACGAGAAACCTGGTAAGATTAGCATGCTAAAAATTGTTAGTACTTCGAGTTTGCTATACCGGCTATCCACAGAGCACAATTCTTAACTATCTTGTCTTTCTTTTCTAGGTCAAGTCTCTAGAATACGTCGGACTTGCTCCAAAGGGGAGTTTAAGAGTTCAATCTTTTCTTGAAAAGGCTGCTGAAGGGCTTGTTGAGGGTGGAAGGTTAGTAACATAATTTTGCTAAATAAGGCTCATTTGATTACCTTCAACAGCTATATACTGTAAATGCCAATTTAATTTTTTTTGAAGATGTTATGTTCCTTCCAGGAAAATATTGTGAATCATCATTATCATTCATATAGTATCTTACTTGACTCTTTACTGGAAATTTTCAGGAGAGAGATCTTCACTCCTATGTACTTTTTTGTGGCACGGAAGCCCTTGTCACCTAGCGAGTAACTTTAAACACATGGACTGTTTCGGATTAAAAGCTATGCAGCGGTCGAGGGACATCTGGTTGGTGAAACTTCCATTGTGACCAATAGAACAAGCTTCAATGCAGTCTTGTGTGTCGCTCGGATGCAATTTAGTACATCTTAACCTCATCCAAAATGTTGCAAGCTATTTACATCTTAACCTCTTGTTTACCTATTTAGCAGATCTTTTTTCACCTTGTGTCCTTGCAATTTTCAAATTCGTCAACATTTTGGTTTGGATCATCACCTGTTAATGTGTAATTTGGCAGAAATTTGCTGCATTTTCACTCTTTCTAATTTACTAGTTCAGTTATCTTTGAATTTGTCTTCTTTAGCTGTGAAACTTGTTCCGTGACGCGTAAATGATGCGGGCCATGTAAATGATGCTGATGCATGTTCTCGCCTGTGTAATGCATGCACTAATGTGTATGAACTGTCTATTAGCCTGTTAGGTGCGGATGCAAGGTAGGAATATGCTATGTGGGGCTACATACTAGTAGATATGGGAAAATGTATTCTTCACCATTTTCCATTCCTTGTTTAAAATAATATTCATCTTTTTTCATATGAAAAGTAATTTATTTCGCACTTGACATTTTAGAGTCGAAAAATCAAAATCCTTATTTTTGAAATGTTAACAACTACTACGTATTATGTATTAATTATAATGATTAAATAAGATTAATATTACTCTATATACTAAAAAGATGTTTCTTCAAAAAAAAAAAAAAATACTAAAAAGATGATGTCAAATTTTGGTTTTAGAGACTGTGAAAAGGCAACTGCAAACTTGATTTTATAACAATTAACTAAAGGGTGGAGTTGTAGACTGACACTTTATTTTAGATCCGCAAAATAACAAGTGCTTATATCTTACACTTTATTCCAGTTAACCTTTCATTTTAAAAAAAATTAATTACAATACAAATCTTGCAAATTGCTGTACTTTGTAGACTTGTACTTTTAAGTGGATGGTGGACAATTTGTCTGATTTACAATTTTATCCGTTGATTGTGTCTCCTTTCTCTCATACCCATGAACGTGGGGGATATTCTTTCCACACAAGTTGGATGTCTTGCTTAGTCTCATGACCCAGTCATTCCAGCTAAATGGAATTGCTCCACGATTATGTGTCATGCTCATACCCGATAGATTTGGTTTAGAGCACTATTAATGGTGAGCTAAAAATTTGCTCATGGGCATTTTAGGTGGGCATAAAATTTGCTCATGCATTACAATGGTGAGCAAATGAGAAAAAGCCAAAAAATGCTCATGAGCATTTCTAAAAATGCCCAAGACTTGAGCATTTTTTAAGATGAATAATGCTCTGGTGGGCCCCACAATTTGCAATGGTTATATTTTTTGTAATACAAATTCTGAAATAAATATTTATTAAAAAAAAAAATTAAAATTACCAACGGTCATAAAATTTAATCCTCTATAAATAGACATGCATTTTTGTATATTTTGGTATAATTTCATAAATACCATAAATCCTCCATATTCTTTATTTTAACGATAAAAACGACACAAATAAAATAAAAAAATAAAAAAAAAAAGTTACACAAATTTAGAATAGTTTTTATTTATTTGGAGTAATATTGTTAAAATATAAATGAAATTAATAAATAAAGAAGTGTTGTGTAGAAAAGAGAAAGTAATGGTGGTGTATTGAAAAAGTAAGAGAAAGAGAGTAGTGGGCAAACATTTTTTTTGCTCACCATTGGGAGAGAAATTGTGAAAAAAACTTGTGATTTGTTGAGAGAGAAAGTGAGTAGAGAGACAATGGGTGAACATTTTTTTTTGCTCATCATTGAGAGTGTTCTTAGGTTAAGTCTAAGGGTTGTAATTCCTTTACGATCATCTCCATTTGTAACTTATATTCATATTGCTCTTAAATTTCACTCGGACTAAAATATAAAATGTGTAGCCCGTAAACCACAATCTTATTGAAACGGGGGAGTATGTAACGGCACTCCAAATCTAACTCGTATATTTTTGGTAAGGTGTGTAATTCAGAGGGACAAAACCCGGTTGTTACGTAATACGGAGTAAATCATTAACACAATTTTAAAATAATCTTTAGGGGTTAGAACCTCCTCTAAAAATGGATTTGGTCCATATGTCACATCATCCCAATACTCCGTATTTAAAATGAGATTACCTTGAAGCATCTTCTACTAGTCACCTTTCGTAGAAGAAACGAATTTATTCACATAACATGTCGTATTTATTTCACCCAATTTACAGATTGCTTCGTAATATTCAAAATATTACAGATTAATCTACTAATTGAAGACATCAATCACATCATACAAATTTTTATTTGTCTGAATATTTATGAGTTGGTCGAAATTGAAAGAAAAAAAAAATTGAAAAAAAAACACTGCATTAAACTTAATAAGCAACCATAATATCAAAATAAAACGACGAACAATCCACAACCATCAAACCAATCAATCCTCAAAACAACCCACCAAAATAACAAAAACTGAAACTAAAACAATTTTTTTTTTCATGATAAAAATGCCCTAAAATTAGTATAATCCCAAATTTTTGAAGGGAAATAAAAAAAATCAACAGATAGTATAAAGGATCAAATCCTTGGTATAATCAACCCCAGAAGAACTCCCATTGCAACCAACAGAGCCGCCGTCTTGCGTCGGAAACTGGTGGATTCCGGGGGAGGAATTGTTCGGCGGAGGATGATAATACATCCGGGCAGTTTGCGGGCAGTGGGAATGAAAACGGGCAGCAATTCTGACCCCAATATCCAACAACTCTGAATATTTGCTCATTTTTGTTACAGGGTTCTTCTAAATTTAATTCTCTCTCTCCTATTTTTACTGGAAATGAATCGAAGTTCTTGAGAAGAGAGAAAATAAATGAATAAATAATTGAAATGGAAGAAAATTTAGAAGACGTCAAACATAGGAGATCCCATAAAAAAATGGGAGTTGTGGTGGTTTGGAATGAGGAAGGAGGAGTAGTGGTTATTTATAGGTGATTTTTTTAGGGGTTTCATTTTCTATGTTCTTTCCTAGGTTATGGGCCGGGCCCAATTTGATATTTTATAAAAAAGTAATTTGAATTAATAGTTGCTGTGTTTGGGTCAAATCAATGAATTGCGTTGAATTAGGCAATAAAATGGGGAGAATGGAAGTAGCATTGAAGATACACAGGGAAAGAATCGCGTTTGTGCTGTTCGAGATGCGCGAATCGTTGCGGCGTTTGGTAGCCACTAATTCGCGGTTACCTAATTGTTGGACTACCCTTTTTTTTTTTTTTGAAAGAGTTGGACTACCCTTTTTATTCGTTTCTAGACCTTTGTTACCTTTTGTTGCTTTGTAGAAATATGGAATTTTATACATGCCCCAATGTTTGTGTAAATAACAAATATCACCTCTTAGTAATTTTTTTAGGGTAAATTTAAGTTTCTCTCTAAAATAAATTTGTTAATATATCTCATTTCACAATCTAATCCTTTTCTTTTATTTTAAATGATAAAACGAAAATAATAAAGTGGCACAGAAATCAATGTATAAAGTTGTGAGAGAAGATAAGCTAAAATGTTAATCTCTGAGATTAACCGGGGCTCCCTCATTTTTTTTTAATATCTTTTATATTTTTTTATCGGTTTTTTCACCAAATACCACTGAGTTTTAACCTAATTCACCAAATACCACCAACATTTTTCAAATTCACTATATAACATTCAATATTATGAAAATATCACAACACGTCATTTCTATTAACTCAGTTAGTCATTAATATTAACTACGCTACATGACAGCTTGTAATTGGTTTTTATTAATATTATTTATTTAATTAGTTAGATTTAGAAAAATCATTTTAAAAAAATAAAAATAAAACACTGCCAGTACAAGCCTCCGTCGCCCCCGTTGACAACAATCCTCACCCAGCCACTTCCCGGCTGGCTGGTGACCATCCCCCTCCCCTGACGACAACAACCCCGACCCCAACCATCACCTTAACCGAAATCCCCAGCCATCACCGTCGCCAAATTCAACCCTTCTCTGTCTTTCCACCTTAGCCGAAAACCCAACCCAACCCCGAAATCCCTTCGCCGGCAACCCAAACCCTCTCCAACAAGTCGCCGCCGCCCAACTTGTCGAAAACCACCACCACGAAACCCCCAAACACTAAAATCAAAACCCTAGATTTTGGTTTTAAGATTTCGGCGTACGTGGTGGTTCAGTGGGGTGGAGATGGCATCGGGACGGGACGAATTTGTTCGCCGACGCAGGTCGGGGGAGGGCGGTTTGGCGTCGGCCGGTGTTTAGGGGAAGGTTTTTCAAGGGAGGTAGGGGGTTTTTCGAGGTGATGCTAGCATGGTGGTTAAGGGAGGGTTTTTCGAGGGAGTTACGAGCAACCGGGCACGGCGGTTCAGGGGAAGGGAAGGAGCGTCGGCGGGGGTTTTGGTCGGATTCCGTGCCGGCGAGGGGGTTCTGGTCCTCCGTGCTGGCGAGGTGTTGGTGGTGGTTGTTTTTTTTTTGGATTTTTTGATGATTAATTAAATAATTATTTTTAAATTAAATAATTTGGAAGGGAACCAATCACAAGCTGCCACATGGCATTATTAGCCTTAATGACTAATGTTGTTAACGTCCATTAGTCATTAATGGCATGTTGTGATATTTTCATAAACCTGAATGTTATACGGTGAATTTGAAAAATGTTGGTGATATTTCATGAATTATGTTAAAATTCAATGGTATTTGGTGAAAAACTGTTTTTTAATTTTATTTATCATCCTTTTCTTGTATTGTCTACTAATTGTACGGAGGTTGATCTAAGATGGGTTTTGGTCCAAGAAAGCTTTTCATGTTACCTATCAAAAAAAAAAAAAAAAAAAAAAAAAAAAAAAAAAAAAGTAATGTAGATCGAATGTGTATCAAATGAGATAGGTGTGAAGATTCTAGGGCTATTTTACTCTTTATAACAAGTTTTGCACGTTTGAGCTTGATATATCTACCTTGTATTCAACTCAATTGATCATTGTCAAGTCTTTCAACTAAGCAAATGTGCAATAACGTTAAATAAAGTGGAAATTGGTGTTTTTGATGAATATGCCTCCATAACCATAAGGAATAGGTGATGAGTGGTTTTTACAGCCCATCATAATCATAATGTTTCTTATTATAGTTCAGTTTAAGTTATGAGTTGTACCTCATGTCTAGTCAACATCTCCTTGCCTTGGTTAGGATTAGCCTATGGTTGAACCCACTCGCTACATGTTGTGTTGTAGATAAATCTTACAAAGTCGGTCCACACACAACCCAAGCTTATATTCCATAGAATTGTACTTCCATAATTAAGCCAAAGCAACGTGTTAGATCGTGTCATATCATGCTTGTTTAAAAAAGCGTAGTCTAAGATAACCCACAGACCGACACACACAATAACATGCCATGCCGTGTTATGGTTTGGTCCGGCCCACTGCCACAGTAATAGACCAATTAGTGGATACTGGACCGGGATCCAGTCACCAATTTATGATCTTTCTACTAAACGACGCCCATCGTTCACCTCCTCCCTCTCTCTCCTTCAAGTAAAAATCTCTTGAACATTCAATTGCAGAGTATGGTTTATCCATGGGATTGATTAAACCACAACAGTGGCACCTACTGCACAATTTGGCTCCAAATTCATTGAATTTATGCTATGAAGATGAATTCTGAGGAAATTGCAGTGCACTTCCTATAATCAAGGTGAGTGAGGAAGATGACATACAGGAGCAGGGTAAAATTGAATCTAATTAACAGGTTATTATAATTTTATTCAGTTTCAATTTCTTGCAAACCCCAATTTCTGATTGTTGACTTCATATATACTTGTATTTGTTAAATTTGCTAAATTTGAATTCTTTATCACTATATATTAATTCCTGTTGAATTGGAGTTGTTTTTGTTGGTTTAATTCTGGTGGTTTGTAATTTATGTATAAATATTATTACAAATATATGTATAAATTCTGGTGGTTTTTGTAATTTATGAGCAATATATGTATAAATATTTATTTGATCATAGTATAAAACTGAATTACCTAATTTACAAAATTCAAAACTTGCAGTTAACTTACGTGCGCTCCAAGAATTCATCAAAACAAACCTGTTTCTTCAACCCATCAATCAGTTTAATGGATAAAGTACTTGTAGATTCCCTAAATTTCAACTGGTTGTCATCTTCATTTATGCCTTCTACCTGTTCGAAGAAATGCTTCAATGAAAAAAAGCCAGGAATAGGAAAAAACCCATCTGGGTTTCGTGTTGCTGCAAAGAAGACCAATGTAGTGGTGTCAAAGGGGCTTCAGAAGCGCCAGAAAAAGGAACTATCAAAGATGTTGTGGACTGAGGCAGCCATTAAAGCCATTGAGAGTAAAGCCGGGTCGAAAAAGTATAAGAATTTGTGGCCAAAAGCTGTCTTGGAGGCTTTAGATGATGCTATTCAGCTGAACAATTGGGAGTCTGCTCTCAAGGTCAGTTGGTGTTTTCTTGGTTATTCTTGCTTTGCTGAATTTCGAGTATTATGCAGCTATTAAGGAACTTAGCACTTAGTAAAGGACCAACCTAACTCATCCTTTCGTACTCTATCTAATTATATGTTTTCTGCAAATCATGTCTAACAAAGACACTATCCTAGATATTTGGCTTGCTTCGCAAACAGCATTGGTATAAACCAAGATGTCAAACATACACAAAGCTTTTGATGATGCTCGGAAAATGTAGGAAGGCGGAGCAAGCTGGTTTGCTTTTTGAGGTGATGTTGTCTGATGGGCTTCAGCCTACTGTTGATGTTTTCAGTGCATTGGTAAATGCTTATGGAATGTGTGGCCTCTTTGACCAAGCATTTTCAACCATTGATGACATGAAATCTGTGTACGACTGTAAACCTAATGTTTATACATATACAATACTACTAAGCTGCTGCATTAAGCATCACCGTCTTGATCTTGTTAGTCAGATTCTTGCCGAGATGACTTATTTGGGAATTGAATGCAGTTCAATTACATATAACACTGTAATAGATGGTTATGGAAAGGCTGAAATGTTTGAAATGATGGAGAACGTATTATCTGACATGATTGATAGTGGTACATGCCATCCAGATGTTTTCACAATGAACTCATTCATTTCAGCTTATGGGAATTGTGGGCAAATAGAGAAGATGGAGAGGTCGTATGAAGAGTTTCAGTTAATGGGGATAAGCCCAGATGTGAGGACCTTTAACATCTTAATAAGGTCGTATGGGAGAGCACGCATGTATCAGAAAATGGAGTCAATTCTGGATTTCATGAAAAATAGGTTCTTCTCCCCGACTATCGTGACTCTCAATACAGTGATAGATATATATGGACGAGCTGGTGATATTGAGAAGATGGATAAATTTTTCCTGAAAATGAAACATCAGGGGATGAAACCTAACACCATAACCTATTGCTCACTTGTTAACGCTTATAGTAAAGCTGGGAAGCTGTTCAAAGTGGATTCAATTCTTAGGCAAGTTGAGAACTCCAATGCAGTTTTGGACACTCCATTCTTTAATTGCGTCATCAGTGCCTATGGAAGGGCTGGCGATGTTGATAAAATGAGTAAGGTATTCTCGGAAATGACTGATAAAAACTGTGAGCCAGATTATGTAACCTTTGCTACCATGGTTCAAGCATACGATGCTAAGGGGATGAGTGAAGTTGCAGAACATTTAGAGGCAAAGATGCTGTCCACAGAAACCTGCTCAGGTCTGTCTTTATCTTTATATTTAAATCATTTGGGCCATGCCATACCATATATGAAGTACTCTGTATGATCTTACTTTTTGACAGAAACTTCTTGAATTGAGATTCACTTTGTTTTGATGTCAGAACCTAAGCTGCTTGGGTGCTAGTTCATTTTTCTGTGTTACTTCCTTGTGATAATGACCACTATCACTGCAAGAAATGAAAGATTGGAGGCCTATGTGACAGCTAGCTGTTGTTGATATGGTTATGGTAAAATTCTCCTTGTTTCAGTTTTTTTTTTTTTGCTATAGCTAATACGAGTAGTAATATAGTATGCACTCTGCGTTTATTACTTGCGTTAAAGATTTCTAATGGTAACAACAAGCTGTGGGGAATGACATTCAGTGCCTTAACAAATTTTTCTATCACTGTATTTTGTCGAAACAATTCTTTGACCTTCAACTTCACCATTCTGTTTCCTCCCTCACCAACCAACCTTTCATCGTTTTCACTGCTATGAAAGGTTGCCGAAAATGCCTTACTTATTAGATCTTAATTCACCTGACTCTCCGCGGCTTGCTATATTGCACTTCCCAAACCTTTTTGTGGTTATGTAATAGACTAAGGAACAGCAATTGTAAAATAAGGAATTCAAGTAATAAAGATGGAAGCTTTCGGTTGTTTGATTGATTTCTAGCAAAATAATAAGATAGTGGCTTTAGGCCACAACTCTCTCAAGGCAACTTTAGGCTGCTAATCTCTCAAAGTGTTTCTTACAATGCTCACATAACTACTACTGAATAAATTAGCCTCTTATATACTAAGGCACTACTACAAAATAACCTAGCTTCCAATTAAGGTGTTTGTCCTGTATTATTGCAATACAGAACATCAGAACATCAGAGGACAAGGTGCCACTCCCCCATAGTGGAACATTAATGAGGCTCGTCTTCTTCTGCCCTGTCATTGTTGCCGTTGGCTGCTTTCTCTGCTTTCCCTCTTCTTGTGTAGACCTTGAGTGCAGGCTGTGGTTGGTTTATCACAGGTTACGATTGTAATTATGGCAGTCTCAGGTGTTTAGAGTTCGTCGGTTCTTGCTATGGTTTGCTATGCCTTAAGTCCTCTTATTTGATTAAGTGTAATACCAATAATATAAAGTACTCCACAAGTCCACAATTATTCTAAATCCTTTCACCGGAAGATCCTCTTTTAACATCTCAACTGATCTTCCTATAAGAACGTGTACCGGGTTTGGTTATGACAGTTTAAAGGATGATTTCAAACTTTTTGTTGTTGATTATTATTGGAAACCACATGATAAATATTGTAAGGCTAAGGTCTACAGCATCAAGGCCAATTCTTGGAGATGCATTGATGAGACCACCACGTATCTTGTTGATCCACAAATCTACCTTCCCAATCGGCGTTCAACTTGACAACAATTCAATGCACTGGCTGTGTATGTCTCCATCTAGGAAAAGGGGTATTATTTTTTTGCTTCAATCATGAGAACGAACAGTGGGCTACTGATGTACCATTGCAATTGCCCAATTTGGATGATTGTAGTCGCGTTTTGCATATTGTGTTGTTTCTTTGGGTATTCTCGATGGTTATTTGTGTTTTCCTCTTGACAGTGACATTTAATCAATCAATCAAAGCCTTAATCCCATAAGTGGTGTCAGCTACATAAACCAAAAGTGATTATTCCGTATAGTCATCCACAAAAATCTTTCTCTTCCACCCCTTACGATCAAATACTTCATTCTCATGCAAATCCATATGCTTCATATCCTTTCTTCCAACCAAGACATTTTCGGTCTCCCTCTTCCTCATTTAACCACTCCACTCTTTGTACCGGTGCACCCTTAGATTTCCGTGTTACATGCTCGAATCAACGCTGACGATTTTCCCTTAGTTTGTTTGCAATGCCTACAACACCTACTTTCTTGCGAATAATCTCATTTCTAATTCTATCTCTTAGAGTGGCCCAACACATCTATCTTAACATTCACATTTCCGTAACTTCCATCTTTTTAATGTGCTCATCCTTAGAAGCCTAACATTTTGTACCATGGAGCAACACTGGTCTTATGACAATGAAATTAAATAAACAAAATAACTCATCCATAAATACATAAACTGTGAAAAAAATTTATCATATTGAAAATGTAATCAATTATTTAGAACCAATCAAAATCAATAAAATATATTTTAGAATCAATACAATTTTTATAATACTTCCTCCGTTTCTTTTTAGTTGATACTTTCTTTAGTTACGTTTGCCACTATACAGATTCAACCATTAATATCTTTAATTACAGATAAGCAAAAATTATGAAAATTTAAATTTTGAAAATATTTATTGTAATAAATCTAACAAGATTCTACATGACTATATTTTTCATTATGTAGCACAAAATATGGTTAAAAGCGAATGTGTGAATGGTGCTTAAGTCAAAACTTGTCAACTAAAAAAAATGGAGGTAGTAGATACTAACCAAAAACATGTAATAAAATATATATGTCAAATCTTACTCATCCCTTCAATTTTGTTTGTTACACCGAAATCTCTTTCATTCTTGGGGAAATTTTGACTTAATGAGTTTTTAAATTCAAATTATAGTCATGTACTATTCCCTCCGTCCCATAATATAGTTTCCGTTTTCTTATTTTGTAGATCCAAAATTTTGTTCCTGTTTCTATTTTTGGATAGTATGTAAAGACCATTATACTCTCAATTTTTAACTTTATTCATTGTATTTCCTAATTTATCCTTGAATTTTGCACGTGCCTATACTTTTTTCCACTTTCTCTCTCTAACTTTTGTTACTTTTTACTTTTATTAATGTACTTCATCCACTATCTTCTCCTATTTCTTAAATATCGTGAAAAAACACAAACAAGAGCTCCACTCCCACCGTTTTATAATGTTAACCCCATATAGAATCAATCACATAAAATAAGAAAAGAAGAATATTTGAAATCTAACATTAAAGTACAAAATAATTCATAATTAGTTTACTTTATTTAATTTTTTGATTTTTTTTTTTGAAAGCATAAGTCATAATTGCATAATTCAAGGTAGATATTTCCTTACTTAGATTCATGTCATCAATCCACAACCAATTAATTCCAAAAAAAATAAGTTAAAAATGGAATATATTCAATATAGGTATATTTTTTTTAAAACGCCTAAAATAGTATATGAGACTAACATTATGAAACGGAAGGAGTATTATAGGACGGAGGGAGTACATACAATGTATATGTTAATTCGGACTAATTTTTATATAATTTTGTAAGTTAGGATATTTAAAGATTTGGTGATATATTTTGTCGTTGTAAATAATGACGAATCTTGTAAAAAATCGGCTACTCCATATTTTAGGAGTTACTTTAGAAAGGTATTAACTCTTATTAAGTGTCAAATATGTTTAATCATGGCAACTTTGTATTTAAATTATATATTAGTAAAATATATTATCGAGTTGTTCACGATGAGCCTATCAACTCGAGTAAGAGCTTACTCAACTCATGCTCGTGAACATCTCGAGTAGAGCCAATTCGATTCGAGTTTTGACTGAGCTTTGATCGTGTCGAGTTCAAGTTATTCGCGAGCTACTCAACTCCATTAGCACCCATGTGTATGTCATCTAAATTGTTTTTTTAAAAAAAAAATGAAAAAAGTTTATTATTGATTTGTTATAGATTTAGGATAATAATTTCCTTCTAGGTTTTTCTTTTTGGCAACATAGATATTATTTTAGGATAATATTTGTCGGAATCATTTGTGGTAGATTCCGAATATATTTTTTATACTTTGTATCCTTATCGTATTATGTTTTCTAAAGTGATTAGGACTAATATTATAAACGTTATTTATATTGATTAATGGTAACTTAGGTTTTAGATCCAAAATTTTTAATTTTTTTCAATCAAATTGTGATAACTCCTATATTGGTTAATTGATCCATTGTACATTTCATAAAATCTAACAATTATAATTACTCGTCAAGGGTTTGATTAACACAGAAGCGGTATATTTCAGAATCGTTATAAAAAAAAATGGTTGAATTACGACTTGCACAAGGAATCCTTTTGAAGATAATTGAATCGATCCAGATTGTGTCGATGAGGATGTCTACTTTGCGTGTTCAGCCTTTAAACGCGAGACTCGTATCCTGCTGAGAGCAGAGAGTTTCGAACAATTCAGGTGTGATCGGAATAGTTTGATGATGGTAAAGTATAATGACATTGTAAAGATGCTTAATAAGTTTACTGCTAATGATGAAATCATCAGTATTAACGATGATGATGGAGATGATAATAAGGTTACTTTTATGTTTGAGACTCCGAGTAAGTTTCCATCTTTTTCTTTATACTTACAATACCTCTAACCTCTTATAACCAAGATGATTATTTAACCATTTAAGCCAATCAATTATCAACTATATTAATAATACGTAAAAAAAAATGATATAAGTGCAAACCATAAGGTTCAATTAAGAAAAGGTACTTAAAGAATAACTCAATTTTGGTTTTATAATAACAATTTCAGTTTTGAAAAGCCTTTAAAAAATTTATCGATGCTACGTTTACAACAGTAGCAACATGGGCCAACTCCCGGGCTACTCAGTAGTTAATTTATTAATGTATGATTCTTTGTTTTGACATTATTGACAGACCAAGATAAAATTGCATATGGCGAAGCTGATCAATGCGTTTGGGCCCTTTGATTTGGGTTGGGTCGATGATGTGCCATTGGATGCCATTGTTAGGATGCCTTCAGCTGAATTTTTCAGAATATGAATATTTGACTAAATTTGGCTGCGGCGGTATGTAATTAATATTTATTTATTCAATTCCAAAGTATATTAGAATTGTATTGATCATGAGTGATGGTATTTTGCAGTTAATTCTAAGATATTACCCCCGCGATATTTTATAATGAAAGTGAGCACATAGACGAGGTAGTTGAGGTACGTATGTATATTCGCTAGAATTGATTGTACAATGAATTGAATTGAACATGGTTCGGGTGTTTAACATAATTAATGTATGCAATGGTACGCTGGAGACGCGGAAATAATAGAGATGAATAACGTAATGTCGGAAACGTATGATCTCAAATGTTTAACCAAAGCAACAGCCCTCTCTAACACTATCACACTCCGCTTGGTTGCAGGAAAAATCGCTGTTGCCGATTTCCATATTGCTGCCATGGGTTATGCCTGCTTTAACTTTAAACCTTGGAAATACCATGGTTCCCATTAATTAGCTAGGATTTTTATTTAATTCTTGTTTCCTTTTCGTTAATAATAAGCCATACATATGTTATCTACAACGATTATCAAGATTCATTAGACACATATTTTGAGAATTAACACAACTTTTATAATCTAAACAATTAATTTTAATTTAAGCATAGTGAAGCACGTACAACTCAATCTTCACCGCTTCAATGTCCTTCGATGTTTTTGCATCTTTCACTTTGAATAATGTTCTTAAATATTACAATGTTTGTTTATTATTGCATTTGCTTCTATGTATTGGTAAGCTTAAAATATACTATGTGCTTCTTATATTAGTTATATATGTACATGTTTAATTGTCTTATTAGTACTATAAAGCATATTGTACAACTCAATTTATATGATAAATAAAATCTTTAGTTCGTGCAAATGTT